GAGTGTCCAAGAAAGCCAAAAAAACATATTTCAATTTTCAAAATTTGGAAAAACTCAAAGGTGTTAGCCCACAAATTCTGAGAAAATTGATGCATTTTGAGGTTTTTGTAAATTAATGAATGAATGTGTTAAAGTGATATTAAATTGATCCAACCATTTTTCAGTGTAAAAGAGTGTCCAAGAAAGCCAAATAAAATATTTCAATTTTCAAAATTTGGAAAAACTCAAAGGTGTTAGCCCACAAATTCTGAGAAAATTGATGCATTTTGAGGTTTTTGTAAATTAATGAATGGAATGTGTCTAAAGTGATATTAAATTGATCCAACCATTTTTCAGTGTAAAAGAGTGTCCAAGAAAGCCAAATAAAACACTATTTCAATTTTTTTCAAAATTTGGAAAAACTCAAAGGTGTTAGCCCACAAATTCTGAGAAAATTGATGCATTTTGAGGTTTTTTAAATTAATGAATGGAATGTGTCTAAAGTGATATTAAATTGATCCAACCATTTTTCAGTGTAAAAGAGTGTCCAAGAAAGCCAAATAAAACACTATTTCAATTTTTTCAAAATTTGGAAAAACTCAAAGGTGTTAGCCCACAAATTCTGAGAAAATTGATGCATTTTGAGGTTTTTGTAAATTAATGAATGGAATGTGTCTAAAGTGATATTAAATTGATCCAACCATTTTCAGTGTAAAAGAGTGTCCAAGAAAGCCAAATAAAACACTATTTCAATTTTTTCAAAATTTGGAAAAACTCAAAGGTGTTAGTTAGCCCACAAATTCTGAGAAAATTGATGCATTTTGAGGTTTTTGTAAATTAATGAATGGAATGTGTCTAAAGTGATATTAAATTGATCCAACCATTTTTCAGTGTAAAAGAGTGTCCAAGAAAGCCAAATAAAACACTATTTCAATTTTTTCAAAATTTGGAAAAACTCAAAGGTGTTAGCCCACAAATTCTGAGAAAATTGATGCATTTTGAGGTTTTTTAAATTAATGAATGAATGTGTCTAAAGTGATATTAAATTGATCCAACCATTTTCAGTGTAAAAGAGTGTCCAAGAAAGCCAAATAAAACATATTTCAATTTTAAAATTTGGAAAAACTCAAAGGTGTTAGCCCACAAATTCTGAGAAAATTGATGCATTTTGAGGTTTTTGTAAATTAATGAATGAATGTGTCTAAAGTGATATTAAATTGATCCAACCATTTTCCAGTGTAAAAGAGTGTCCAAGAAAGCCAAATAAAACATATTTCAATTTTTCAAAATTTGGAAAAACTCAAAGGTGTTAGCCCACAAATTCTGAGAAAATTGATGCATTTTGAGGTTTTTGTAAATTAATGAATGGAATGTGTCTAAAGTGATATTAAATTGATCCAACCATTTTCCAGTGTAAAAGAGTGTCCAAGAAAGCCAAATAAAACACTATTTCAATTTTTTTCAAAATTTGGAAAAACTCAAAGGTGTTAGCCCACAAATTCTGAGAAAATTGATGCATTTTGAGGTTTTTGTAAATTAATGAATGGAATGTGTCTAAAGTGATATTAAATTGATCCAACCATTTTTAGTGTAAAAGAGTGTCCAAGAAAGCCAAATAAAACACTATTTCAATTTTTCAAAATTTGGAAAAACTCAAAGGTGTTAGCCCACAAATTCTGAGAAAATTGATGCATTTTGAGGTTTTTGTAAATTAATGAATGAAATGTGTCTAAAGTGATATTAAATTGATCCAACCATTTTTCAGTGTAAAAGAGTGTCCAAGAAAGCCAAATAAAACACTATTTCAATTTTCAAAATTTGGAAAAACTCAAAGGTTTAGCCCACAAATTCTGAGAAAATTGATGCATTTTGAGGTTTTTGTAAATTAATGAATGGAATGTGTCTAAAGTGATATTAAATTGATCCAACCATTTTTCAGTGTAAAAGAGTGTCCAAGAAAGCCAAATAAAACACTATTTCAAAATTTTCAAAATTTGGAAAAACTCAAAGGTGTTAGCCCACAAATTCTGAGAAAATTGATGCATTTTGAGGTTTTTGTAAATTAATGAATGGAATGTGTCTAAAGTGATATTAAATTGATCCAACCATTTTCCAGTGTAAAAGAGTGTCCAAGAAAGCCAAATAAAACTATTTCAATTTTCAAAATTTGGAAAAACTCAAAGGTGTTAGCCCACAAATTCTGAGAAAATTGATGCATTTTGAGGTTTTTGTAAATTAATGAATGGAATGTGTCTAAAGTGATATTAAATTGATCCAACCATTTTTCAGTGTAAAAGAGTGTCCAAGAAAGCCAAATAAAACACTATTTCAATTTTTTCAAAATTTGGAAAAACTCAAAGGTTTAGCCCACAAATTCTGAGAAAATTGATGCATTTTGAGGTTTTTGTAAATTAATGAATGGAATGTGTCTAAAGTGATATTAAATTGATCCAACCATTTTCCAGTGTAAAAGAGTGTCCAAGAAAGCCAAATAAAACTATTTCAATTTTTTCAAAATTTGGAAAAACTCAAAGGTTTAGCCCACAAATTCTGAGAAAATTGATGCATTTTGAGGTTTTTGTAAATTAATGAATGGAATGTGTCTAAAGTGATATTAAATTGATCCAACCATTTTCAGTGTAAAAGAGTGTCCAAGAAAGCCAAATAAAACACTATTTCAATTTTCAAAATTTGGAAAAACTCAAAGGTGTTAGCCCACAAATTCTGAGAAAATTGATGCATTTTGAGGTTTTTGTAAATTAATGAATGGAATGTGTCTAAAGTGATATTAAATTGATCCAACCATTTTTCAGTGTAAAAGAGTGTCCAAGAAAGCCAAATAAAACACTATTTCAATTTTCAAAATTTGGAAAAACTCAAAGGTGTTAGCCCACAAATTCTGAGAAAATTGATGCATTTTGAGGTTTTTGTAAATTAATGAATGGAATGTGTCTAAAGTGATATTAAATTGATCCAACCATTTTCAGTGTAAAAGAGTGTCCAAGAAAGCCAAAAAAACTATTTCAATTTTTCAAAATTTGGAAAAACTCAAAGGTGTTAGCCCACAAATTCTGAGAAAATTGATGCATTTTGAGGTTTTTGTAAATTAATGAATGGAATGTGTCTAAAGTGATATTAAATTGATCCAACCATTTTCCAGTGTAAAAGAGTGTCCAAGAAAGCCAAATAAAACTATTTCAATTTTCAAAATTTGGAAAAACTCAAAGGTGTTAGCCCACAAATTCTGAGAAAATTGATGCATTTTGAGGTTTTTGTAAATTAATGAATGGAATGTGTCTAAAGTGATATTAAATTGATCCAACCATTTTCCAGTGTAAAAGAGTGTCCAAGAAAGCCAAAAAAACTATTTCAATTTTTCAAAATTTGGAAAAACTCAAAGGTTAGCCCACAAATTCTGAGAAAATTGATGCATTTTGAGGTTTTTGTAAATTAATGAATATGTGTCTAAAGTGATATTAAATTGATCCAACCATTTTTCAGTGTAAAAGAGTGTCCAAGAAAGCCAAAAAAACACTATTTCAATTTTCAAAATTTGGAAAAACTCAAAGGTGTTAGCCCACAAATTCTGAGAAAATTGATGCATTTTGAGGTTTTTGTAAATTAATGAATATATGTGTCTAAAGTGATATTAAATTGATCCAACCATTTTCCAGTGTAAAAGAGTGTCCAAGAAAGCCAAAAAAAAAAATATTTTTCAAAATTTGGAAAAACTCAAAGGTGTTAGCCCACAAATTCTGAGAAAATTGATGCATTTTGAGGTTTTTGTAAATTAATGAATATATGTGCTAAAGTGATATTAAATTGATCCAACCATTTTTCAGTGTAAAAGAGTGTCCAAGAAAGCCAAAAAAACACTATTTCAATTTTCAAAATTTGGAAAAACTCAAAGGTGTTAGCCCACAAATTCTGAGAAAATTGATGCATTTTGAGGTTTTTGTAAATTAATGAATATATGTGTCTAAAGTGATATTAAATTGATCCAACCATTTTCAGTGTAAAAGAGTGTCCAAGAAAGCCAAAAAAACACTATTTCAAAATTTGGAAAAACTCAAAGGTGTTAGCCCACAAATTCTGAGAAAATTGATGCATTTTGAGGTTTTTGTAAATTAATGAATGGAATGTGTCTAAAGTGATATTAAATTGATCCAACCATTTTCAGTGTAAAAGAGTGTCCAAGAAAGCCAAATAAAACACTATTTCAATTTTCAAAATTTGGAAAAACTCAAAGGGGTTAGCCCACAATTCTGAGAAAATTGATGCATTTTGAGGTTTTTGTAAATTAATGAATGGAATGTGTCTAAAGTGATATTAAATTGATCCAACCATTTTCAGTGTAAAAGAGTGTCCAAGAAAGCCAAATAAAACACTATTTCAAAATTTTCAAAATTTGGAAAAACTCAAAGGTGTTAGCCCACAAATTCTGAGAAAATTGATGCATTTTGAGGTTTTTGTAAATTAATGAATGAATGTGTCTAAAGGATATTAAATTGATCCAACCATTTTCCAGTGTAAAAGAGTGTCCAAGAAAGCCAAAATTTTTAAAATTTGGAAAAACTCAAAGGTGCATTTTGAGGTTTTTGTAAAAAAATGAATGGAATGTATCTTAAGTGAAATTTAATCGATCTAACCATTTTTGAACTTTGTAAGAGATTGATTGGGAACTCTAAGGAGGAGGCCAATGCTTTAGGAAAAACTGAGGCTTTGGATTTTTACCACAAGTTCTCAAAAAGATTCTCAGTCATAAATCTTTTTTTGATAACTTTGTTATTGCATCTTACAAATCAAGAAGTAGCTGGATTTGGATCTCTATGCTGGCGAGACTCATGACAAAAATACAAGAGAATAATACTTTTAGACATATTTGTTGACATTGATGTTTCACTATAAGACATTTTTCATCCATAATACACTTTGTAACGCAAATACAGTTTTTTTATACATACAACAAATTAAACATTTTGTGAGAAGAAAACAAAGTGAATCCAAAACTATTTGTCAAATTAGGTCTCAAGAGATACCTTATTTAAGACTGTTTTCTTGAGTTCATGGTATCGAACTCGTTGATAATCCACAAGAATACATAGTTGTCTTATGGCTTCTCTCTTCTCTTCCCCTAAGCTCAACACCTCAACATCTCTTCCTTTCACATTGATCTCAAGCTCTTTGATCCTCCCTTCAAATTTGGTCACAATCTTTGCTAGCCTCAGTTTCTCTTTTCCTTCTTCCGCAAGTTTCGTCTCCAGCTTACATAACTTCTCCTTCAACAAAGACTCTTGTGCTTCTTCGCATTCCAGCTTCGCCGCTAGGGTTTCCAACTCGCTCTTCTTCTCACAAACCCAAACCTTCGCTGATTCAATCTCTTTTGCTAATCTTGCAACTCTGTTCGTGTGTTCCTCTGCTTCTTCTACCTTCTCCATCGCCATTTCGGAACTTGTGTCCTCTTCTTCCCAAGATTCTTTGATTGTCTTGAAAAGGGTTTCGTAAAGGAGCAAAATTTCTCTGTTCTCTTTGTTTTCTTGAACCATGTCTCGTGTTTTGATGTAGTCGTTCTTGCCCTCTAAGTGTATCTGTTCAGCTACATGGATCCTCCTGTACAGCATCCTGATTTGGTCTTCTATCTTCATCCTGAAATCTTCAGCTAAGTCTTCCATTTTCTTCTCTATGGCACTTGGATTCAGCTTCGAATCTCGGCTTGAACCTAATGACCAACGTTTCGATTGCTTCAGATCCTCAGTGAACTTGTCGATGGTCTCTTTCTGTTCTTTGACAAGTCTTTGCTGTTCCTTCGTTTTCGAAGATAACTTGCGAATCACGTCATCTTTCTCCTTGACTAACTTCTTCTGATCAGAAAGTTCATTGTAAAGTTTCTTGCTCTTATCTTCAGTTTCATCTGTGTTCTTGATCTCTCTCTGTAATGAATCAAGCTCTGAGATTCTTGTATGAAGCTTCTGATTCTCTTCTCTAAGATGTTCAATCTCTTCATTCAACTTATTCCTCTGTTCCTCTGTTTCTTGTTTCACACGCTTCATTTGCATCTCTGTCTCTGTAACTTCTTCCACTTTCTTCTCAAGCTTTGTTTCAAACTCATCTTTCTGCTTCCTCAGTGATTCAAGCTCATGTTTCATACTACTCACAAGATCCATCAAGCTGGTTACACGTTCATTCTCCTCAACTCTCTTAACTTCAATTCTTGTAGCCAAATCTGCATTCCGCGAGCGAAGGAAACCGATTTCTTGCTCCAAGTTCTTCAACTGGCCCTTCAAATCCTCAATCCTCGATGTTAAACCTAACTCACTGTTCCCAAACTTGCTCACAAGTGTTGATATCTCATCTCCTTTCTCTCTCAAAACCAGTTCCAATCCAGAGATCTGAGACCTAAGCCCTTTGTTCTTCTCTCCTAGTTGCTTAGTTTCTACAGCTTTCATCGCAATCTCTTCCTCTAAATCTCCTTTACGATCACACTCGGCTTTCGCTTCACTTAGCTCTCGTTCAAGCTCATTCACACGAGAAGTCAGTTCTTGTTCTTTCTCTTCAGCTTCATTTTTCAATGCCTCAAGCTTCCTTTTAAGCTCAGAAACTTCGCTTCCTTGCTCAGCAAGGTTCTCTAATTCCTCTGAAGAGTAATATTCTATATCAGAAATCGATCTCCCTTTTCTTCTGCTGCCACCGCTTCTCGGAGTTTGAAAATCTTGTTGATGATCATCAATTGTGGAGCAAAGAGATATACACTGCTCTTGAAGATCGGTTACAATCGCTATAAGCTCTCTCTTTGAGTCCTTTGGGATCTTGTTTCTGCTTTGGGTTTGGATGTATTTTATAAGCTTTGACACTCTCTTCTCCACTTCTGCAGAGATAACAAGAGAACTAACAAAACCTTACATAAACAATTTCCAAAAGCTTAAATTCCATTGAGCATCAATGCAAAACAAATCTTAATTACCTGTTTTTGCTCGCTCCATTTTCAAGAAATGTGATACAAATTCTCAAAATGCTTGTTCTTGCCTCTGCATTTGCACATGCAAAATTGCAAATAGAACTTATCGATCGGAATGAAAACCAGCAAGATCAAAAACCTTCCTGCAAAATGAAAAGATAATTTAAACTTGTTTGTTATATATGTAAAAAAAATCATAAAGAAGAGAACAATAACGTGTATCTCAAGTTTTTCTTTTTACAATCTTAAAACCTTCCTTTTTCTTAATTATTTTTTTCCCAAGAAATACATGAATCAAGAGATCTGAGGATAAACAAAATGGATTTTACGTACCAGAACTTGTGGTTTATAAATTGTTTGTTCAAAAACTATATCGAATTTGTTAGCAAAATCAAAATCTCTAAAACATCAACATTTGAAATTTCCAGATAGAGGAAGGTTAAAAGAATTACCAGGTAGATGTACAAAATCGAATGGTTCCTTTGTTCCGCAGTCTTGGGAAAACTGAAACCAAAATTTGATCTGATTCTAGTTTTGTTTTTGTTTTGGAATTAGAAAGAGAGAATTTTAGCAGAAATGAGAGAGAAATAGGAATGGTTTATTTTTGAAGATAAATGGAGAAAAACAGATAAAATTGAACTGTTTATTTTTGACTTCCTATTTATTTTGGTAGCAAGAACTATGAGCATAACAATGTATTTTTGGACGATTATAGAACCAACCAAACTCGAATTTCCTTAAATTATCTCAGATTGACCCGGTTTATTGAAACCGGTTAACAAGGTTGGACAGGCCCTACCCAGGCCCATTAGGTTGTCTCTTGTCTTGTATATAAAGAAAGACTTGCTTACACTCTCTTCATCTCAAATCTTGCTGTACCACACCATGTGTTTCCAGATGCTCTTCGTCATCACGCTTGTACAAAACCCTTGGAGACAATCATGGAGATCTTGAAAAGCTATGAGAATCCTATCTTAGACGAGGATGATAGAAAGTCTAAGTGCACTTAGGTTTACTCTAGGATCTTTGACTCTGATATGTTTGCAGACTTGCAAACCAAGAAGTGTAGGTTCTTCGCTGCTTTATTAGCTGTCATTGCAGATACCCTTGGAGGAACATCATCATCATCATCAGGAGGAGGCTCAGGTCAAGCTAGTAACATCAAACAGCTGCAAGGTTATATTCATCAAAACCAAGATGATCTTCATTGGTTTGCTGGAAGAATAATTGTATTCTGTAACGAGTTTAATCAGAAGAAAGAGTCTGTTTGAGGATTTTATTCTTATAATTGCAACTTTTGTTGCTAATATTGATTATGATGACACATCTGACTTTGGGCAGTTTTGATAGTTTATGTTATCATGTCAAATAATTGAAATCAGAATTCACATTCGCATTATTTTGGTAAACGAGTGTTTATAAAGGCAAGAAGCCTAATAATATAGCATGGGCTCTTGTCCAGAGCCAATGTCGATGCCAAAAAAGTAATTAAAAGTTTTGTTAACAATTTTGTTGAAGACATGTGTTTTAGAACTAGTATTTTTTGTTTATTCATATATAACACAATGATATTTGTTATTTATTCTTGCTGTATTTTTGTATTCTTGGTGAATGAAGTCATTTTATTTTATTGGCTTAGGGTGTCTTTTTAATTTTTATGTCGGCACGGCTCTGCTCTTGTTGGGTGTCTATGAAAGCCTAAGAATATTGCATAGGCTCTTGTCGTCTGTTCGGGAATTCAAGTGGAACTTTGTACGAATTTGGTACAAACTTTGAGCACATGACTGGATATGAGAAGTGCAACGGCTATAGGAGGGGTACATGAAGTTCTAAGCAAGCAACTTTACAAGAGAGAGAGTTAAGGCCAGAAAACGTGATGATCGTATCTCATAGGAATTCTTTGGTTGCCAAAATAAATGGTACATGCTTTGCTTGGTAAGATTTCTTTTGAATGCAATCCAATATTTTTTGCTTATCAAACCATTTTTTAAAAACATTTTGAAGAAGATACCGTTGATCTTTTCTCTTTAGGGCTTTTCATATTTTATGCTTTTTTCTTTATAAAAAAAAACTATCAAAGAAAAATAAGAAACATAAAGTATGTTTTAACTGTAAATCAAACCTAGAACGAGAACGGCCGGCCATGCAAATAGCAAGAATGATGGCGTTAACCATCTTTGATGATATATATGTAGGAATAAAAAATTTACTTGTATTGCGTTGTTCATAATGAATAGCATATATATACATATGATATTAGATGCATACATATACATTTAGGGGTGTTATTCAATCATGGATTTTAGTAGAGTTTAAATAAAATCACAATCCATTGTTATTGATCAATAATTGATTTTAATCTTTCATAAAAGTCTTAAGTGTTACTGGATCTTGTATTTGCAATATCTTTTGTTTTTGTTTGAACGTAACATCATTAAAAGAGTTTAACATCTAGTGTTATTGGTTCTTATATTTACAATATCTTTGTTAAAAGAGTTTGAAATCCATTGTTATTCAATTAAAGGTTTTAAATGAATAGCTAAAGTATGTTTGATAGATACTCAAAGTGACTTTTACATGAAAGAGTTTGAATGAATTTGAAACTCATTCAATAAGTAAATAACAAACATCAAAATCTAACCTTTTACCCTCAGATTTTGATAATTAATCTAAACATCATCATCAGGAGGAGGCTCAGGTCAAGCTTCTAACATCAAACAGCTGGAAGGTTATATTCATCAAAATTCAAAACCAAGATGATCTTCATTTGTATGCTGGAAGAATAATTGCATTCTGTAACGAGTTTAATCAGGAGAAAGACTCAACCAAAAAGTCTGTTTGAGGATTTTATTCTTATAATTGCAATTTTTTGTTGCTAATATTGATTGGCTTTGGGCAGTTTTGTTAGTTTATGTTATGATGTCAAATAATTCACATAAAACTTAAAAAAAAAGATTGTAACATTTTGTTCAACCCATTATCTTATTATAATCTTTACTTGATGTCGATAGTGCATGGATAAACATATTACAACTAATTTTGGCAATGCCAAACGCAGAAGCAGGTTTTTCTTTGTGCTAGACAATTGCCTGATCCATTCCACTTCCGAGTACATTCATCGGCACACTGTTTAGCTTCACAAGGTACTTTTCCTGTAATATACTCATGACAATTTTCTTGTCCTTGCGACTCTATCGTCAGTGTCCCTGAATATTTATAACAAAAAAAAAAAACCATCAAACAAAAAGAAGAAACATAGAGTATGAAGTTTTAAGTGTAAATCAAACCTAGAACGAGAACGACCATGCAAATAGCAAGGACAGTGGCTTTAACCATCTTTGATGATATATATGTAGAAATGAAAAAATTTAGTTGTATTGCATTTGTTAATAATGAATAGCATATATATATATAGGAAAAATTGGCAAAGTGGGCACATTTCAAGTTTTTAATTGGGAAAAGAGGCAACACCAAGTTTATATTGGTCAAAGAGGCAATTCTTGTGGACCCCGCCTGAGAAATAACAAAAGGACCCTTTAGAAAATAAGATTATTTCAACTATGCCATTGAGTATGGACCCCGCCTAAGAAATAACAAGAGGACCATATTTTAATTCTCTATTACTTTTGTTTTCATTTATTTTCTAACACTTTTAATATCAATTACTTTTTACTTTATTATTCAACTTTTTCTCTCAAAAATTTATCAATTTTCATTTTTAAGTTTTGAAAACTCTAAATTTTTTAATAACTAAAGATTTTGATTTTGGTTTTGGCTTTTGGATTTTGATTTTTGATTTTGTTGTAGATTTTAGTTTAAAAAAAAAAATAGTAACTATTTTAATTTTTGGTTTTCATCTACAATTATTTTTCAAAACGTTTTCATTTTAATCTTATGTGTTTTACATTACTAAATTAATAAATAATATTGTATTAATAAAAAAACATGTTATATAATAAATTTAAGTTGAACAAACTCATTATAGCACATTATTGTAGAGATATTCAGATAAATGGAGATGATTTTTTTTTCTTTTAAATTACTAAAGTAAATTTGTAAAATGTACTAATAAACAAAGATTAGTTTTTATAGAAATAATTATTTCCACAAAATTAGAGAAAAAATCATAAATCATGATAATGTTTTTTATTTTCTCTCATACTATCACTATTTTTTCCCCTTTCATACCATATTTACATTCATATCATAAACTTTAAAATAAATTATAATTTATATATTGGAAAAATTGGCAAAGTGGGCACATTTCAAGTTTTAACATAAAAATTGGCAAAGTGGGCACATTTCAACCCTAAACTTTCAAAATTAACCCTTAAAATTTTAATATTTGGGTTTGAATTTAGAATTTAGATTTAGTATATAAGGTTTAGGGTTGATGGTTTCAGGGGAATTTTATGTTATGGTATGAGATGGAAAAAAACTAGTGACTGACTAAGAGTAATTAAATAACATTTTGGTTGTATATGTGAGAATTGCCCACAACAATAAGACATTTTTATATGTGGAGAAGAGAATTATAAACTTTTGAGAAGTGTCTTGTTTTTTAGTATTTAGGATGTAGGGTTTAGTATTTATGATTTAGGGTTTTTAGTAAAGGTTTAGGGTTAAGTATTTAGGGTTTGGTGTTTAGTTTAGATGATTTAATTAAGTTATAACTTTAAAAAGAGTTTAAAATTTAAATATTTGGGTTTGAGTTTATAATTTAGGGTTGAGGATTTAGTATGTACGGTTTAGGATTTAGTATGTAGGTTTAGGGTTAGTTCTGATGGTCTCAAGTGAGTTTTATGTGTTATGGTATGAGATGGGAAAAAACTAATGATGTTATGAGAGTAATGAAAAAACATTTTGGTGGTATATGAGAGAATTGCCAACAAAAATATGACCGGCGGACTGGTGTACGGTGCTAAAACGCGTACACCACGGACTGGTGTACGGGAACAAAACGCGTACACTACGGATTGGTGTACGGGCCAAAACGTGTACACCACTTGTGAACATACGAGAACAAAATGCGTACACTGCAGACTGGCGTACGGTGCCAAAATGCGTACACCAACATAACGCGCAGAAAAAAGACTAGTGTACAGGATCAAAGCGCGTACACCACTCCATGGTGTACGGTATCAAAACGCGTACACCAAGTTTACCCCACGGTAGGGTTTTAGGGTTAAGAATTCAAGTTTAGAGTACATATTACAATTTTAGGGTTTTATGTTCATGGCTGAAAACTAAATTAAATATGATTTTTTTTTGTATTACACTAATATGTTAGGGTTTATATATATTATGGTTATTTTTTAAAATTTCAAGTTTAGGGTTTTAGGTTTTAGGGTTAAGAATTCAATTTTAGAGTTCGAGATTACAATTTTAAGGTTTATGTCATGGTTAGGATTTATGTTATGGGGTTTAGGGTTTAAAACTCTTTTACTTAATGAAAAAAATGTAGTTTTGAAAATAAACACCACAGAGGTGTAGTTTTGAAAACTGACATCTAAAAAAGTGTAATTTTGAAATTTTCCCATTTAGAATTCTTAAAATCCTATTTAGGGTTTAGGGTTTAGGATATAATTGTGAGGTATTAGGGTTTAAGTTCTTTGAATTAACTTGGTAACAAAGTCTAAGATTTAAGAAAATATGTGAACTGAAATGTAAGAACATCATAACAGTTTTTAATAGTTTTTTTTCTCTAAATATACCTAAAACTAAAATAAATGTTATTCATTTTTTTTAATACACTAGCATGTTAGGGTTTAGATATTATCGTTAAATTTTTAAAAATCAAGTTTATGGTTTTAGGATTAAGAATTCAAGTTTAAAATTCGAGATGATAATTTAGGGTTTATGTTGATAGTTTAAGATCTATGTATATTATTTATGTTTATAACAAAATAAATGAAAATGTTCAATTTTTTTTTAATATGTATATCGTAATATGATACGCATGTTTTAATTAGATATATGAATCAAATTTTTTTTTTTAAAAAGAAGTAAATTTACTAAAAGTAAGAAAGGGAATATTATTATTTACATTGTTTGTTTGATTTTGTTTCTTATTATATCACAAATGACATATTTTTCCATATTATTATGTTTCTATTATGTGAACCACAAATTTTGATGACATGGCAAAAATAATTTTCTTTATATTTACTTTTTCAACACTTTCTCTCTCCAACGAAAATAAAGTTTAGAAAAGTGGACCCATTCTCTCTCCTTTCAATTCTCTATCTCTCTCATAGACACAAGGTTAGTTTTGTATTTAAAAAATTTTCTCTCTCCAATTTGCCTCTTTTCCCAATATCAAACATGGTGTTGCCTCTTTTCACAATAAAAACTTAAAAACTGCCTACTTTCAAAATTAACCCTTGTATGATATCAAATGCATACAAATACCTTTAAATTGTGTTATTCAATCATGGATTTTAATAGTTTAAGTCAAATCACAATCCATTGTTATTCAATAGTTTGTTTTAAATCTGTTATAAAAGTCAAGTGTTATTGGATCTTGTATTTACAATATCTTAAAAAGAAACTTTTGTTTTTGTTTGAACATCATTAAAAGAGTTTAACATCTGGTGTTATTGGTTCTTATATTAACAATATCTTTGTTAAAAGAGTTTGAAATTCATTGTTATTCAATTGAAGGTTTAAAATGAATAGTTAAAGTATGTTTTGATAGATTCTCAAAATGACTTTTACATGAAATTCATTCAATAAGTAAATAACAAACATCAAAATCCAACCTTTTACCCTCAGATTTTGATAATTAATTTTAAAATTAATATACTGCTCTACTGTTACAGATTAGAATGTGTATATATGTTACTATTTCAAGCAGTGATCTGTTTCCTTGGAGTTAAACCCAACTAACTCCTGGCAATTTACCTCCAAAGCCATCTCTAAGCATTTCTACTTCATCCCATTTCCCATTTCTTGCATAAACATTAGAGAGCATAACATTGTAAACACTTCTTCTTCTCTCTTCTTCCTCATTCTCCATTATCTTCTCTGCTACAACTTCAGCCAAACGAGTGTTCTCATGAACTTCACAGCATGACAACAACGCTCCCCAAACCCCTGAATCAACCGGTTTCCGCAACGACATCACAAACTCAAACGCTTCTTCCAACTTTCCAGCCATTCCCATCAGCTTCACAATGTAAACAAAATGCTCTGTCCTTGGCTCAACACCAAACTCGCTCCTCATCCCCATGAAGATCTCTTGACCTTCCTCTAAAAGACCAGAATGGCAACATGTACACAGAAGAGCAGAGAATGTAACCTCGTCCGGTCTCAATCCCATCTCGAGCATCTCGCCGAACTTTTCAAACGCAGAAGAAGCATAACCATGCAAGCCAAGCCCCAATATCACAGAGTTGAAAGAGACAACGTTTCTCTCTGTAATCCCTGAGAAAAGACTCATCGCAGAGTCCAAAAACCCACACTTTGAGTACATGTCTATAAGAGAAGAGCAAACCTTTACATCCACTTCCATTCCCATTCGAATCACATAACCATGCACTATGTTTCCAAACAGCGAATCCGTTAACTCAGCGCAAGAGCCTAACACAACCGCAACAAGAACAGAATCTGGCTTCTTCTCACCACTCATTCTCAGCTCACTAAACAGACACAAAGCCTCCTTGTGATTCCCACATTTCGAGTAACCAGTTATCAGAGACGAACACGCAACTAAATCAGGCTCAGAGATGCTACTAAACACTCTACAAGCAGAAGCTAAGCATTTGCATCTAGAGTACATGCTCACTAGAGCACAACCAACATGAGAATGAGAATCTAAACTCACTTTCAAACAAAAGCCATGAACAGACCAAGCAATGTGTAATAACCTCAATCCAGTCATCAACCCTACCATTGTATAACAATCAGGTCTATTTCCTTGACGTAACATTGAGTTAAACAGTTTGATTCCTTCTTCCCAAAAACCACAGCTTCCATATCCAGAAACCATAACGTTCCATAGAGCAACATCAGGCTCTTGTATTGAAAAAAACAACTTACTTGCGTCAACTATAAGGCCAGAGTTTGTATAAGCTTTAACAATGGCACTACCGCAAATCTGATCAAACCCAAGACCAGATACAATAGCAATCCCATGAACACACTTCAGTCTCTCTGTATCGAAACTGTCTGAGAAGCCACGAGCTAAGCACGCGAATGTGAAGTTATCAGGTTTCGTATCAGAGCTCAGCATTCGAGAGAAGAGCGACGAAGCAGAGGTAAATCGATGAGCTTTAGCGTAAGCTCGAATAACAGAGTTCCAGAGGAAAACGCTTCTCTCGGGAAATACGTCGAACAGTTTGCGTGCAGAGAGAAGTTCGTCGTTTAACGCGTAGAGTCTCACAAGCTGCGTCGCGAAATACGGATCACGCGCGAGGTGGGTCTTGGTAACGAAGCTCTGCAGTTTCTGGGTGTTCAGTTTCGTTTGAAACTTCCTCGTGAACTCGCTGATAATCAAACGTAGTAACTGCGTCTGCGAGGACATTCCCAGATGCAACAATCGCAAAAATCAAAACTTTAATCTTCCTCAGTAGCAAAACAATCTCGCAAAACCTCAAATCACACGACTGTTTCAAGGAGCTCCAAAATCGGAATAAGAATTTATGCAAAGAGAGTAAAAGCTCTTGTTTTTAAATATTTAAAACCCAAAAAAAAGAAGAAGAACAGAGTAACTAAAACAGAGTAAACTTGAAGAAGCTAGAAAATGAAGAAGAGAAGTAACTAAAACAGAGTAAAATTTACAAAATTTAAGATTCTTGCAAAAAAAGTGTGTTTTAGAGAAAAGCTATGTAAGCTCAGAGTCTGAAGCAGGACCAGAGAGATGTCTACGTCTTCCATGGCTCAAAGGACTCATAGTACTCGAAGCCAATCTCGTCTCCTTCCTCGCTTTGCTGCTGCTTCTCACAAACGGACTTAGCGGCGACGACGACACTTTTGGTGTTGATCTTGGCTTTACAGGCGATGATCCTGAAGATCTTAAACCTGAAAAAGCAATTTCAGACAAAATTAACAATCTTTATAACAAAGTTGTTTAGTTGTATTGTATCAAATGAAATGTGATCTCATCTTACTAACCTGCGTTTGAGTTTCTTCTGAGTTTGGCAATGTCGTTACTTTTCTTCAAAGCTGAGATCTTTTTCATTGGAGCTTCAGAGTAAACCGATCTCGCATCTGACTCTGAGTACTCAGATATCGCATCTAAGCACAACGACTTCGTATACGTCGGCATTGTCGTCGTCGTCATCGGATCTTCAACCACAGAAACGCTTTCGGAAACAGAGTCCCCTGTTTCCGACTTCCCTTCTCTAAACTCCTCCGGGCTCATCTTCTCCTTCTCCGCAATCTTATACGAGTAAAGCTGAAACGGAATCTGCGTCACGGACTCTGCATGAGACCCTCCTGACTCTAACGAGAACTTTCTCAAGAACCTCGCTTCCAAGTCCCAACAATCAACAAGCGGAGTCTGAATCTGGATATGACCTTGATAAGGATTCACTACCAAGAACTTCTTGATGTAACGAAGTATCCGACAAACCGAAGAGAACGTCGGTCTCTCGCTCGGCTCCGAATGCCAACATCGTTTGATCAGAGACACAAGATACTTCGGAGAAGGAAACGGGAAGAGAGGTCTCTCTCCCGCTCTAATGTTCTTCGCCATTTTGTCTCCTTGAAGATGACTATCTTCGAACGGAACCTTACCTGTGATGAGCTCGAAACACACCATCGCAAAGCTATAAACATCAGCTTTATGCGTAAACTTCGACCTCGGAGCTGCTGTTGTGTCTTTGAGATGTTTCTCCATCTCTGCAAGAACCTCAGGTGCGTACCATATCACAGGATCAGGTGTTGTTGGTCTAGAGGAAGCTCGAGTAAACGACTGCGTTTTGACCGAGGTCAAACCGAAACCAGATACCTTGGCGTGGAAGTAACCTTCCGTGTGGCTTCTCTCTTTCAAAAGAATGTTCATCGGATTCAAATCTCCATGAAATATCTCGTTCGCGTGAAGATACTCCATGCCTCGCGCGATCTGAAGCATGATATCGATCACGACAGGAACAGAGAAGAGATATCTCCTCCTCGGTCCACAGTTCTCCTTCATGTAGCTTTTCAAGTCTTTATGCATCAGCTCCATAACCAAAGAACATTCTTTCCTCTCTTCATCGTAGAAGCCACACAAGTACTGAAGTATGTTCGAGTGACAGAGCGATAACAGAGTCGAGATCTCCTCGTTCAACGGCTCAAGATCGCCGAAGAAATGTCTCAGCACGAAAGAGTCACCTAACCATTGAATCTCCTTGTACTGACCACCACCACCGAGTCTCCTCCTCAATTGATAGTCCTTAGAGTTAAGAAGAATCGAGCTCGGGAAGAGCTTACCGTTAAACTGCTCCAATCCGGTTAACTTCTTCAGCAAGAAATCAGCTAACCGCTTCTCTGTTTTCCCAATCTCACCGCTCTTCGACTTCCTCTTCTCCTGCAACGCCTCCACTAGATTCCACCTGTCTTCTCTCCAAGAATGCTCAAATCTGCTGGTGATGTCCCTCGGGACAAGATACTGTTTCCCAAACCTCCATTGAAACAGCTTTGGATCATTCCACTCTCTATCATACTTTCTCGAGAACACAACTCTCCTTCTGTCCATCTCTGAAGGGTCTAAACCAGAAATCTCTCCGGCTGTCTCAATCGCTTCGATCACAGCAGGGAAGTAACAGAAGAGATTGTGGATGTGAAACTCAACACAGTCTTTGTTCTGATGAAAGTTGATGACTTTGCCCCACCATTCTTTGTTGGACATACAGTTTCTAACGTACATTTCTCCTTCTTTGAACACTCTGAAGAGCTCTCTTAGAGGTTGTTCAAGGGCTCTCCATTTGGTGTGTTTCTCTTCGAGCTTTAGGTTTTGTCTGATCTCTTCGGCTACTGTGTTGAAACCTAAGCTGAAAATGTCTAGAAGCAAACAGCATTGTCTTTGGTTGATCACGATGTCGTCTTGTAATACCATTAAAGCGTTTAAGCTCCCTAAAACCTCGCCGATTTGCCTGAATTGCTCCATCTTCCAAGAAACTTTTCTCTCAAGAAACCAACCAAATCTGAGAAAATTATCAAAAGCAGAGGAAATTTCAATTTCAGTCACATTTTTCCAATTCTGTTAATCATTTTCTACAGGAAAAAATAAGCAGAATCAAGAGATAAACCTGAAATGAAGATCCTTTTTTCTTGGAATCAAGCCAAACCATCAACAATCTTCTAAACCTGACCACCAAATCTCAAAATTAGGGTTCCAAGTAGAAATTCTTGGAGAAAATAAATAAATAAATAAACATAGATCTTACCTGTGTAACTTCAAATCAGAAGAAGCTTCAAAAGAGAGAGAAGAGACAAACAAACAAAAGGAAAACTATTTGTCCCTCTTTCTCTTTTAAATTGCAGGAAAAAAAATTCCCAAAGGTTTTCGTTGTCTCTCTCTGTAATGGTTTTTGCAGAGAAAGCAGAAAATATTTTTTCAGGAAAGCTTTTTAATTGCAAAGTGTAACGTTTTTGTCGTTGTCCGTACTCTCTGGAAAGTGTTCCCGCGATTTTCGTCCTAATTAATAAATGTAATTAATTAGAGTTTGAATGATAATTTAGCAAGTGTTTGGATCTAAAACGGCGTCGTTTACTTAATTCAACATTTTATTCCATCCATTTGACCATTTTCTTTCCGAGAAACACCATTTACTTAAGGCTGATTAGTCTATGAATTGAATTATTTTGTGCATAATTTTACGCAATAGAATCTTTGACCTTACAGCTAGAGTTTTGAAGGGTTTAACTAAAAAAAGAAGAGTAAACAGTGAGGAATAATGTTATTTTTGAAAGAGAACGGCTATTTTGGAAGAATTTGAAATTAGACGAAAAATATTGAAGATATAAATTCTAGACGAATCGTTAGAATCTTCATTTGCTTACATTCATATTCTCTACTTTAAGGCAGTTGCGTTGGCAAATACATGTGCAATGACTATGAGGATTAATCGTTTAATCGGAGTAAACCAGTTGTACATTTGAAAATTATCTAATAAACAAAAATATAGACAAACACGAACTATTTATATATTATCATTATACACGTTTGCATATTATTGAGGTCATATATTTTGATCTTTCATACACACATATTCTCCAAAGAAACCAGTATTTGATATTTGGAAATTAGTTTTTGTTTGTAATGTTATTATAAGAGTGAAAAAATCTGTATTTCTATACAAGTATATGGTAGGAGATCAGAAGTTTTTCAAATTCATCCAAGAAAATATTCCAATATCTTAATTTAAAATTAATATATTTTAACTAAAAGAAGAAACTTTTAATAAAACTAATACAAATATATGAGTAAGAAAAGAAAAAAGAAAAATTGGTTAAATCATGATTTGTATAAATTTTTAGTTAAATATGTGATAATTCTTTTTGTAATTCAATGACTTTTTAAGTATAGACTAGCTTCTTTCTTGCCAACAAGTTTAAGTTTCCCTTACTTTAAATCATACCAAAATTTATTTAAAAGTTATAGATCTATTCCAGTTTTTTCTTGACATTCTTACTGTTTTACTTCTTTTCTTTATATTGCTTTAAGGAAATCACAAAGACAAATAAAATGAAAATTTAATATGTTCTTTTGACCGCAATATTGATATTAGTACAAAACGTGGACAACAAGATGATATTTCCTTGTCCCAAACCCTATATAAGTCTCATAGTTACGTAGACTAGAGCAAGCATGTTCTTTTTACCATTTCTTTCATTTTCTGATCTTTTTCTCAATAGAAAAACATCGAAATCATGAGTAATCCGGATCCGGTGATGAACAAAGACGTGATTGTTCAGATTCCTTCTTCTCAGTTTCCTGAAACATCAAATCCGGAATTCACCAGTCAAGAAAAGCAGCCAAATTTGTTTATACGTCTTGTGAATTTACTTTTCTTTCGTACAAAAAATCTAAGAGAAATAGAGTACTTTGTGTGACTGAGGACGACAAAGACAAATAACTAACTAACGAAGCCTTTTGTGTGTAGTACGAAATAAACTTTCAACCGAATCAACTCCTAGTAAAAAAATATATTTGTTTTAACTTTCTTATTGTATGATGTTATTGGTTCCTATATGTATTCGTTAATCTGAATGAAAGAAGAGATGGGTCAAGAAATTGGATATCCTTTATATAAATAAAGTTTTATTGACGACTGTATATATTGTGTGCTCTTCTCCTACCAATGAGTATTGCCTCGAGTTTACATTTCTCCAACACTGAAGCATGAGGTGAGAAAGAATCTCCCATGATAGAGTTGATATGAGAAGAAGCCATGATCATGTCAAGATTCTTTCTCATCTCATGCTTCTGTGGTTGAAAAATGTGAACTCTTAAACAAAGATTGCAACAACAGAAGCGCTATGATTCTTCTTTTCTCAAACTAGAACTCCAAAAGAAACAATTCATTAAGATACAAAAAAACAAGAAGAAGTTAAGGAAATTGTTGGATGTGTTCGATGACTAAGAGAAGGAGTCAAGGCTTGCTTATAAAGGCCAAGCTTTCAACGTAAATAATAAAGTGGAAGATTTGTCTTTAATGAAAAAAAATCGCCAATAACGACGATAGCAAAAGTGATGTTATAAAATCAAGCATGCATGTAACTCTCTTTATCAAACCAATTTACGTTACTCACGTAGTTACGTTACATTACAGAATGAATTACGTTACTATACAAAATCGATATTTCTCTTAATAATATCTACCGTCCTTGTGTCAGTTGTGTGACTATTTCTGACTTGGTAGTGGGAAGACCCAATAATGGACTTTCTAACTTCGGCCCAATTTTTATTTGTTTTTGTACTTTTTACTAATTACTTACCCTCTGTAATTATTTTTTTGAAAAACTTCAGATATATGCGAAAAAGGCTCCCTCCGGTGCGGACCCAACAAGTTATCATCATCACCGGAGAAGCCGTTAGCGAAAGGTCAAAACGATTTCATTTTTCTAAAATCCAAGATTTTCATTTCAACTGTGTAGAACTCTACAAAGTCTTTGGTTTCATTTTTATTGGTTAGAGTTTATGTTTTAACCGCCTCTAAAAAGTGATATGCTTTTAGGGTTTTCTTTTTGAAAAAACAGATTTTACTTTGAATTATCTTGCAGGTTTGTTGTGCTCTCATGGCTGAAACAGAGGTTGTGGTGTTGTGTTACTGGAAGTGTAGTATCAAGGATGGTCCTAATGGCGTCTACTTTGAAGGGTCGACTGATGTGCGACGCTCATTTGGAGAAAATGCTCGAGGTTCCCAGCAACCACCCTTCTATAAACACTGTGGAATTGTTTCTGGAACTGAAACCAATTCGTGCTGGTGATCTTATTGATCTCCGTGATCCAGTGGAGAATCCGCGTAAAAGACAGAAGAGGACACAACAACAACAACAACAACAAGTGAAGGATGATGGTGTTTCAGAACCGCGTGTTGTGTCTGGTTTGTGGCTTGAGGATGACACAATGCGTGTGGGATTGTGTTTCAAAGATTTAGATGAGATGAAGAAGGCAGTGGACTGGTGGTCCATCAAGAGGCAGCAAAAGTATTTGGTAAGAGAGGCCGAGAAGGACGTGTATGTGTTTAAGTGTGTAAGATGGGGATGCAAGTGGTCAGTTTCTGCATCAAGAACTGAAGAAGAAGGTGGTCTCTTTGAGATAACCAAGTGTAATGGCAAACATACTTGTTACCCTAACTCTTCACAAGATTTTGAGGTCAAGTTTTTAGAGTATGAGATTGAACGTGTGGTCAAGGCCCAGCCAATGCTCTCAACTAAAGAGCTGGATAAGTGGTGGAAAGAAAAGTTTCACTATGCGCTTGATGACGTGATAGAGCATTGTGCGGAAGGGTTTTTGCAGAGAGCGAAAGAGAAAGCTCTCAAAAGAATCTATGGAGGTTGGGATGAGAGTTTCAGCTTCATGCCCAAGTTAATGTCTACGCTTCACTCTTCTAATGGTCTGGTTGTGGACTGGCGATATGATCTTTCTTTGTCGTTTCGAAGCGTGTTTTGGGCGTTTTCACAGTCTATCAAAGGGTTTGAACATTGTAGACCTGTGATCGTTGTGGACAGTAAAGACTTGGGAGGCAAGTACAAGATGAAACTGATGATTGCCTCCGGGTTTGATGCAGTAAACCAATTCTTTCCACTTGCATTTGCGGTTACCAGAGAAGTAACTGTTGATAGTTGGCGTTGGTTTCTCAGTAGAATCAGAGAGAAAGTTACACAAAGGAAAGGACTTTGTTTGATTTCTAGTCACCACCCGGACATAGTCTCTGTTGTTAACGAACCGGAGTCTCAGTGGCAAGAGCCCTGGGCTTATCACAGGCTTTGTCTGAATAATCTAGGCTCCAGATTCTGTAGCGTTTCTCTAGGCTACGAGTACATGGAGTTGGGGTTTCTTGTGGAGGAAGCTAGGTTGTCGAGTCAGAAGGAAGAGTTTGATTCCAACATGAAGAAGATCAAAGAGAAGAATCCAGAAGCTTGGAAATAGTTAGAGCAAATCCCTCCGCATCAGTGGGCTTTGTCTCATGACAGTGGTCATCGGAGATACGGAATCATGGAGATTGATACAGAAGCTCTGTTTGCTGTTTGTAAAAACTATTCGAAAGTTGCAATGGCAGGTGGTGTGATGCTTCTGTTTTGTGAGATGAGAGACGTTTTTGACGAGTCATTCAGATCTAGCCGAGGCTCTCTTAACCGAGGCCATGTGTACACAGAGCATGTTATGGAGAAGCTTAAAAGTTCCGTTACTTGCGTTGTAAAGCCGTTAGAACGAGATGATGCGTTTCAGGTCACAACGGCCAAGAAGAAAAACAGGAGGACATGTCTTCTTTTGGGTGAGTCTGATGATGAGTCGAGCTGCGAGGTTGTTCAGCTTAATGACTTAACCTGCACTTGTGGGGAGTTTCAAAGGAAGAAGTTTCCATGCCTACACGCATTAGCTGTCTGTGATAAGCTCAAAATCAATCCTTTGCAGTATGTAGACGACTGTTACACTCTTGAGCGGTATCACAAAACGTATGCTGCTACATTCAGTCCTGTTCCGGAGGTATTAGCTTGGCCTGAAGCTTCTGGAGTTCCAACATTTCTTCCTCCAGCTATAGGATCAGGTAAGAAGTTAAAGCTAAAGTTAGTTGTACATATTTGAACAAAACCTAAATATATGTCTTACTAATTCTGAGGGGAAGTGTAGGGTTAAACTGGTTCATGTCTATATTGTTGTTAGCGTTTATATTGTGTTATTGCAGTCTCGCATTTTTCTGACACTATGTTTGATGTTTGTGTTTATCTTGTAAAAGGAAAAGGGAAAGAGAAGGAGACTGAGAGTGATCATCTTGAAGAAGATGAAGAAGAAGATGCATATGATTATGATGAAGAAGAAGATGAGTGGTAATGGTCAAATAAGCACAGCTTGTTTGCGTTATGACTTATGAGATTTAATTCATTAAACAGCCTTTTGATTTTTTTTTGTTTAGTACGTGTTTGCTTTCTATTCAAGAAGAACTGAAAGTTGTAAACATTTTGACTGTATATTGTGTGCTCTTCTCCTACCAAAGATTTTAATGAATATTGCTTGGAGTTCACATTTCTCCAACACCGTAGCATGAGGTGAGAAAGAACCTCCATGATCATGTCTGAGTTAAAATCAGTAGAAGCCATGAATGATCATCGAGATTCTTTCTCACCTCCTGTTTCGGTGGAGGAAAAATGTAAACTCTTAAACAAAGAATGCATCAAGAGAAGCTATGATTCTTCTTTTCTCAATCAAGCTCTAAAAAAAACAAGAAGAAGTGAAGGAAATTGTTGTATGTGTTCGATGACTAAGAGAAGGAGTCAAGGCTTGCTTTATAAAGGCCAACCTTTCAACGTAAACAATAAAGTGGAAGATTTCTCTTTAATGAAAAATATTCTCTAATAATGATGTGAGCAAAAATGATGTTATAAAATCAAGCATGCATGTAAACCTCTCTTTATCAAACCAATTTACGTTACTCTAACGTTACACTACGTAATGAATTAAGTTACTATACAAAATTGATATTTCTCTTAATTGTCAATATCTCCTTACAGTTTCACTATATTGTTGTTTCTTGTTTATGCCTCTAATAATTGTTTCATGATGATAAAAGGGGGATGAATCTCAAGTTTTTAAATCCTACAATCATCCTCTCTAAATCTCTCTTTCACGTCTCAAGATTCTACGGTTTAATTGAAAACAGACACCATTTAAACCTAATCGCACAAAAGCAACAACGCAATAATAACCTGAACAAGTCTTGCCAACTTTCAGTTCTTCTTAAACAGAGAGCAAACACAAAAACTCAAAAGGCTGTTCTTCTTCTTCTTCTTCTTCTTCTTACAACGCTAACACAATATATTTACCTGATGCTTTAGCTGGAGGAGGCTCAATGACCGGAAGAAGCAACCTCGGAACTCCAGTAGCTTCAGGCCAAGCAGATACCTCAGGAACATCATTGAATTTGGCGGCGTACGTTTTGTGATACCGTTCAACAGAGTAACAGTCATCTACATACTGCAAAGGATTGATTTTTAGCTTATCGCAGACAGCTAGAGCGTGCACACATGGAGTGTTGCTCCTTTGAAACTCCCCACAAGTGCATGTTAAGTCATTCAACTGAACAATCTCGCAGCTCAAGTCATTCATAATAGGCCCTGTCCATCCAACGGCTTCACAACGCAAGCAACTGAGCCTGTTGTGAACTTTTCAAGCGTGACGAATTCTGTGTACACGTGGCCTCGGTTAAGAGAGCAACGGCTTAGGCTAAAAGACTCTTGGAAATTGTCTCTCATCTCACCAAACTGAAGCATCACGCCACCTGCCATTCCAACTTTCGGAAACCTCTCACAAACCGCAAAGAGAGCTATAGTGTTGATCGTCAGGCTTCCGTATCTCCGACGACCAACGTCATGAGACAGAGCCCACTGCTGCGGAGGATACTTATCCAGCCATTCCCAAGCTTCTAGATTCTTCTCTTTCATCTCCTTCATGTAAGAATCAAACTCTTCCTTCTTAATCGTGGATCCAGCCTTGTCCACAAGGTTTCTCAGTTTGTCGTCTTTAAAAACGCCATGGAACTGGGAGGACAAATGATCAAGACAGAACCTGTGATAAGCCCAAGGCTCTTGCCACTGAGACTCCGGCTCGTTAACAACAGCGACTATGTCCGGATGGGGACTGGTTCTCAAGTAAAGTCCTTTCCTTTGAGTAACCTTCTCTCTGATTTTACCAAGAAACCAACGCCAACTATCAACAGTCACTTCTTTAGTAACCGCAAACGCAAGCGGCAAGTACTCATTGACTGCATTAACCCCACAGGCAACCATCAGTTTCATCTTGTACTTACCTCCCAAGTCTTTACTGTCCACAACGATCACAGGTCTACAATGCTCAAACCCTTTGATAGACTGTGGAAACGCCCAAAACACGCCTCGAAACGACGCGTGTCCAGGAGGATGATCAGGCAAAGAGTCATCATATTGCCAGTCCACAACTACCCCATTAGAAGACTGAAGCGCAGACATCAACTTTGGCATGAGACTGAAACTCTCATCCCAACCTCCATAGACTCTTTTGAGAGCTTTCTCCTTCGCTCTCTGCAAAACTTCTTCCACATCGTCCACCTGGTCCGTATCAATAAGCTCATAGCCATATTTTTCTTTCCACCACTTAGCCAACTCTGCAGTTGAGAGCAGTGGATGCACCTTGACCAGACGTTCAATCTCATACTCTAAACCCTTGACATCAAAATCGCCTCTAAACTCAGGCCAATACCTACGTCCGTATTCATGGTCACAAGTATGTGGACCACTACTACACTTGGTTATCTCAAAAACACCATCTTTCTCTTCCATTCTTGCTGCAGAGATTGACCATTTACATCCCAAACTTGCACACTCAAACACATACACGTCCTTCTTCTCTATCTCTCGTCTTACCATATACGTTTTCTGCTTCTTAATCGACCACCAGGCAACTGCCTTCTTCATCTCTTCCATATCTTTAAAACACAACCCCACACGCATTGCATCATCCTCAAGCCACAAACCAGACACAGCACCAGCTTGATCTTCATCCTTCACTTCTTCTTGTTGGGTCTTCTTCTGTCTTTTGCGGGGATTTTCCACTGGATCACCAATTGGTTTCAGTTCCAACAACAATTCCACAGAGTTTACAGAAGGGTGTTTGCTTGGAAGCTCAAGCATAGTCTCCAAATGACCGTCGCACGTAACCGGACAAAGTTCATACCTAAACCGGTTTGGTGATTGAGCTACAGGGCACCTATAAACTATCTCAAGATTCGATTTTTGCTTATCGAATCCAGTGATTAGATAAAGTTCGTCGAGAAAACTGCTAAAGTCAGTCTTTTTCTTGACTCTCATCTCTTTAGGAGTCGACCCTTCAAAGTAGACGCCATCAGGGCCGTGCTTGATTCTACAGTTCCAGTAACACAACAACACAACCTCTGTTTCAGCCATGAGAGAGCACAATGATTCTGCAGGGGATTCAAAGAAAAAATGAGAACTTTTTTAGTACCCAAATGCAAAATCCTAGAAAGCCACATATCAAACCACACTCACTAAGTCACTATCTCTAAAAGGAAGGAAAAAAAAAAAGGCTTTTTTAGTAGGTTAATCAATTTCATTCACGCATAAACCCTAAACAATGAAAATCAAAATGAAGAAAGACTGTAAATTTCAACACACCTGTGGAGATTCTCGTTTCGGGTATCGCAATAAAGCTTGGATTTTGCAGAAATGGAATTAATTTGACCTAGGATTTCTCCGGTGATGAGTTCACTTGTCACCGATGAAGAGAACTGACCTTTTGAGGGAACTCACAAATATCTCATTTTTTTCAAAATAATTACAGAGCGTAATTAGTAAAAGAAAGGTACGGAGACAAATAACAATTGGGCTGAAATTAGAAAGCCCATTATTGTGTGTTTAGCATAATAAAGCCTAGCAGAAATGAACCGGTCCTAATTCACTGATTTATATCCGGTTCAACACATTTTGTGTATACGGTTTTCAAGGGAAATTTTGTTGGGATTTTTTACCGTATTTGACTATTTGTTATGAAACATGTTAAAAACATATTGATTCACCAATTACTTCCTCACTAAAAATCCATCTCCCAACTTTACATAGCTTTCTCCCCAAGTTTCACAAGCTTTGTCTCCAAGCTACTCTACTATCTAAAAAAAGTGTTTAGTTATTGCAAGCGTGAGTGTAGAATTTATGAGATAAAAAAAAGAATAAAAACTCTTGCGATATACGGTTAGGATTCTGACAAACATAGTTTTATTTATTTCCTAAACAGATGTAAGAAGTTCTAATTGATATATGATACAAGACTACAAGTGAAGTGAATATGAAAGATTCAGTGACCCAAACAGATTTACAGTATATCCACTAATACGGTAACGAATATTTGAATATTTCATTCTATCTTCGTAATTCGTCATATATGCAAATGAAATACGGTAATGTCTATTTTTGAATAGTTGAATCACAAAAAAACAATTAATTCGATGAGATTCTTAAATATTTTAAAATATTATCGTTGTTGTTTTCCCCCTCTCTTTAGTTTTAAGGAAATAACTCAAATAAGGAAAAAAAAATTAGAGGAAACTCTTGGAATTGTTAACCAAAATCCTGAAAACAAAAAGGAAATAGGGTTACAAAAATCGTATATATAAATACCTAATTGTTGTCCCAAGTAGCCACCAACACAAACAAACCAATATTCATCTTTTATATTATAGATTGGCACTTCATACACGAACACTTCGTGATTCTCTACTTCTTTCCTTCTTCTTTTTCTCCGACAAGATCATGAGATCTCCGGTGGTAGATCAAGACATGATTCAAGAAATCATCTCTCGTCTTCCAGCTTCGGATGTTGGAAAGTCAAGGCTCCTGAACAAAGAAACCAACGAGAGAAGCTACGAGTCGTGGTTCCTCAACCTAAACCTCCATAGAACCAATTCTATCTCAGGATACTTCGCGCAATACTACGGAGAAGGATACAAATACAAGAACAGATTTATCCATGAGAGGAGAGGTTTCGAGAACAATAAAGTCTCGATCGATTTTCTACCACCAGGAAACGTCAAAATCGAAGCTTGCGACGCAAGTAACGGGATCATGCTGTGTGCTCTTGAAACAGGACCAAGTGCGCCGGAGTTTATAGTCTGCAAACCAACGACAAAGCAGTACCAGATCATACCGGATCCCATAATGCAGAATCTCGCCGTCTCGTTCGGTTTAGCGGTAATCCAATCAAACCCTTTCAGGTACAAAATACTTAGGCTTTCCCCTATGAAATACGTACGGAGATTAAACAACCGGAATCATAGAACCTTCGCTTGCGAAGTGTTCGATTCCGGTTCGTTTTCTTGGAAGAGAATTAAGAATTTGCGTATACCAAGAAACGACGGACTTGGTATTACAAAACCGGTGGAAGCTGCTGGTTTATTCCACTGGTTATCATGGGGGGACAAAGTGATCCGGTTCTGTCTCGAAACCGAGTCTTGGTCTTTCTTTCAAACCCCGAAGTTCGGTGTTTCTCCGAAACTGGTCAGGTACGAGGGGAAGCTAGGTGTTGTTCGTTCGTCGTTTAGGGATTCTGGTGAGAGATTTTACCGGTTGTGGGTTTTAGAGAGAAGTTGTGAAAAGTTGTGGGTGGAAGTGAAAGATGTTAAAAACATGGGGATAGGAGATAATGTTTTGTGGACTCCATGCAACGACGTCGTGACGTTCTCTGCATGTGATCGTCTTTTCTCCTACGACACAAACACTGAGAAGGTGGATATCTTTCACGTGAAGAAGGTTAATTACGTTTGTTTCCCGTTTTGTTCTGACTACGAGAAGGTTGATCTTAATAATCAGAATGTGAAACAAGAGGAAGAGGTGCCAAATGCAATTTAGTCAAAGCCAACGTAATTGGTTATCTCAAAATATATGTCATTTTGTAATCTGTTTGTTGTTTCAATTTACAAGTTTATCTCTAGTGAAAGAAAAAAAAACTTGAATTTCTATGATTTTTTTGTTGAAAGAATGTAAGACTAAGTTCTATCTATATAATTGTTCCACCATATTTTCGTTTTGATATAATGAAGTGAAGAGTGATGATTCAATTCAATGACCACAAACCGATTTTCATTTTCCACTAATGAATATTTTCATTGCATTTGGTTTCTATTATAGAATCTTGGTAATCTATAATATGCTGGTGAAATACGGTTTCTTTAACCCATATTTGTTTCATAATAAAAATGAATATTAAGTTTTTCTGAGTCCTACAATCATCAGTGAGAATAGAGATAACCTTTTTACGGAATCATTACAATGATAGAAGTCCCAAACCATTAAGAAGACAAGATCTTTGAATGGTTATTGATTGGATTGCTTTGGCCCATCAGGCTTCAATTACAAAGTGAGAAAATTAGACTAATGCGATTGAACCTAAAGACCAGTACGATGGAGAGATCACAGTGTATTTGGTCTCATATCGACATCTTCTCTGTCTACAGTTTATCATCCTCAATCGGTTTAGGGTCATTGAAGATTGAGAGAGACCCTAAGAATTGAATGATCATGAGCATAGATATCTTACTGCCTTTATTGGTAAATATCTTTATGTTTTTTTGTGCAAAAATATCTGTATGAAATTTTGCTCTTTCCGTCAAGAAGAATTAGGTTAAAAATCATGTTTGTGTTAGTGTAATTAGGTTAAACATATCTGTATGAAATTTTACTCTTTCCGTCAAGAAGAAGAATTAGGTTAATAATCATGTTTGTGCATTGGCTCTTTTGATATTGCACAACAGAAAACCTTTAAAGCGATATACGATTAGGATAAACATAATTTTAAAGCGATATATTCTGACAAACAAAATTTTATTTATTTCCTAAACAGATGTAAGAATTAGTTCTAATCATTATATGGTTCAAAGAGTCCAAGTGAAGTGAATATGAAAAGGTTCAATGACACAAACAGGTTTAATTTAGGGTATGTCCACTAATACGGTAACGAATTTTTCATTCTATCTTGGTAATTTGTCATATATGCAAATGAAATACGGTAATGACTATTTATGAATTTCGAATCACAAAAATAATTAATTCCATGAGATTCTTAGATATTTTTATATATTAAAAAGACAAATTGGCGGGGTTTCTTTCTCGTTAATTAGTGTTTTTTTCCCTCTCACTTTTGTTGCAAATAAGGAAGAAAAAAAAAAGAGCCTCTTGGAATTGTTACCAAATAGGGTTACAAAAAGTGTATATATAGACCTAATTATTGTCCCAAGTAGCCACCGAACAAACAAACCCATATTCGTCTTTCATTATACATTCTCTCATTAATCTCTTTCTCTAGACGATCATGGCTTCTTTTGAAATCAACGTAGACATGATACTTGAGATTCTTTCTCATTCTCATGTCTCCGTGGTTGAAAAATCTAGACTCTTGAACAAAGAGTTCAACAAGAGAACTTACAGCTCTTCTTTTCTCAAACAAAAACTCCAAAACACCAATTCTGTTTCCGGTTACTTCATTCAGTACAACAAGAGCTTAACTCCTCTATCCACTTTTATCAAAAATGACGGAATCATTCCTCACGGGTCTGAGATCTCTCTGGATTTTCTACCACCAGGAAGAATACACATCAAAGCTTGTGACGCAAGTCATGGGGTTTTATGTGTGTTAATGATCTTCCGGTTAGAGGAAGACATCCCAAGTACATGGTCTGCAAACCAACAACGAAACAGTACCAGATCATACCGAGGCCAAAAACCCGGCATTTCACAATCACACACGGTTTGGTGGTGATGAGAACTGATCCTCTCCGGTATAAAATCGTCAGGCTCTCGCCTTCCAACAGGAGGTACAACTTGAATTTTACTCTCGTTTGTGATGTTTTCGATTCCGATTCGTTTGCATGGAAGCGACTATCAAAGAACGTGGAACTACCGGCAGAAGATATGCCAGGTGTAAGAATGTCTGAACCCGTTGCTGCTTACGAGTTCTTGCATTGGTTAACGGCCAACAACAACGTGTTACGGTTTTGTCTGAAAACCGACACTTGGTCGTTTCTCGCGGTTCCTGAGCATCTAGCGAGCGACAAGTCTCTGAAATTGGCGAGATACGAAGGGAAGCTTGGGTTTTTCAGATCAAGATCGAAGGAAGGAGTGGATTATCAGGAGATATGGGTTTTAGAGAGCAGTTTGAGGAGTTCTTGGGTGAAAGTGAAAGAGATTAAAAGTATGGGGCTCGAACCAGTGGGAATCTTGAGCAACGACGTCGTAACGCTGGTTGACAAGGAAAAGTTCTTGTACAATTGCAATATGAATAACGGCAAGTCACAAAAGTTACAAATTAGGTCTCCAAGATTTTCTCCTTATATGGTTGCGAACTCGAGTTATTTCCATCTCTGTTCTGATTTCAAGAGAGTTGAATTTGGCGGGAGATCCAACGGCTATCAACAAGACAAGTCACTTTAAGTATGAAAAAAAAATTTGATAGTCGTTTGTGATGTTATACATTTTATTAAATTGTTGTTGTTTTTCGCGTTAATTATCACATTTCTCTTGTATCAATATATGATGATTCAGTAAAGTAATCAAGGTTTTTACATTTCCAAATTCACCGAGAATAAAATTAACAAACCGGATTGATTCAATGCAATGTCTAACATGAACCGGTTTGATCCAAAGTCTGGTTTGGTTCGACCAAAATCTATCCAATTTCAAGTTCTTCTTACTAAAAAAAGGGAAACCCAAAACTCAAAGCTCAAGAGGCAGTTTGTTAAAGCCGGCATGAAGAATAATCCTAAGAAGCTTATGATAAATTCATATACAGAACAAACTGCTTGCTTTAAACATTACTACTCCCTCTACTTCTTCATCATCATCATCCTCTTCAGTATGTAATTTTACTCTTTCCGGCAAGAAGAATTAGGTTAAAAATCATGTTTGTGTAGTGTAAATAGGTTAAGGCATTTGGCTCTTTTGATATTGTACAACAGAAAACCTTTAAAGCGATATACGATTAGGATTCTAACAAGCATAATTTTATTTATTTCCTAAACATATGCAAGAAGTTCTAATTAATATATGATTCAAACAGTACAAGTGAAGTGAATATGAAAGATTCAATGAGACAATATCCACTAATACGGTAATGAATATTTCATTCTATCTTGGTACGTAATTCGTCATATAAGCAAATGAAATACAGTAATGACTATTTAAGTATTTATAAATTTTGAATCACGAAAATAATTAATTCGATGAGACTCTTAAATATTTTAAAATATAAAAAGACAATTTGGCGGGGTTTCTTTCTCGTTTTTTTTTTTTTTTTTGTCATCAGCCTCTATTCCTAAACCAACTCAGTGATCCAAGCCGGTGGAACAGAATTTACATAATACACATCAGTAGGTAGAGCTCGAGCACTGCGTGCTAACTTGTCTGCCTTCGTGTTCTTCTTTCTCGGTATGTGCGCTATGCAGAAAGAGGGGAATCTCCTTCTACATATGTCGATTTCTTCTAGCAAAGGTGCGAAAGCTGGCCACTCCTCCGGACTAGACACCATCTTGACGACGTCGGAGCAATCCGTTTCGAACATTATTACTTGTTTCCCTTGCCTTAGCATACACTGCATAGCCCATAGGAGTGCCTCAACCTCTGCTTGCAGGGGCGAGAGTCCACGTCTTAAGTTGCAGGTGCCCAAAAGTTTTTCTCCTGTGTTGGTATTATAATTATACCATCCCAGCCCCGCCCGTGGTTCGGTAGCTTTCCATGATCCATCCACCTGACATATATCACCCTGAAACAGGGTATCCACTGATGATCCAACTTGAAGGGACACACCCCCTCGTTTTTCCTGGGCCTTGGCCCATGCAATGTTCTCTCGTGCCGCCAGGTTAATAGTATCATTGAGATCCCAATCATCATTAGAAAAAACCTTGTCATTGCGGGCTTTCCAAATGAACCAAATCAACCAAGGGTACATCCCCATCCTGTCATCCTCTGGTAGATGCCAAAACAAATGAGCTACATTTGTAAACAAACTTCCCGTCGGGAATCGGTTGGGAGCCGTTGGGATTGGCGATAAAGCCCACACCTGTAATGCCGGGGGGCATTCGAATAATAGATGATTAATGGTTTCTGGAGCCATCCCACATCGCATGCACTGTGGGTCGACCTGCATTCCCCTGCTTCTTAGTCGTGCCCCTACAGATATGCATCCCGTTAAAACTTGCCAAATAAAGTGTTGAAGCTTTTGTGTACACTTTACTTTCCACGCGTGTGCTAGTAGCCGCCGTATATCTGGCCCAATGGGCACATTACTATCCTCCTCGTGGATTTGTTGCGCCAGGTCGTACCCCGATTTGACCGTATATCGTCCCGTTTTCGTGAAAAACCATCCCACGGAATCCGGTCTGCCGGCCCTTGATGTCGGTATCCCCATTATTGTAGAAACATCACTACTCTCGAAAAGTTGATTTAATAGTGGAAGATTCCACGTTAATGTTCCGGGTGTCATTAATTCACTTACCCGAAGATGAGAGTGAAAATGAACCCCGTTTCCCATGGCTGGCCTCGGGCGAGAAGCTGGAATCCATGGATCCCCCCAAACTAAAATAGAGATTCCAGAACCAACCCTTTTAATAAGCCCTTTGTTTACCAGAGGTCGAGCCGAGATAATACTCTGCCAACCATAGGAAGGCGAGTATGATTTAATGGGTTCCAAAGGAGTTGTATTCCTGTAATACCGTCCCTTGAACACGCGTGAAAATAAAGAATCCGGGTTATCCATCAGTCGCCACAGCTGTTTCGCCAACAAGGCGGTATTAAAATCCTCAATCACTCGGAAACCCAGACCTCCATCGTTTTTATGTCGACAGAGTTTTTTCCAGGCCAGCCAATGCATTCCTCGTGTCTGCCCCGTACTACTCCACCAAAAATTTGACACCGCACTAGAAAGTTTGTTTGTAACACCTTTCGGCAACCGGAAACAGGACATCATATGCATAGGCATCGCCGATATAACTGATTTAATCAGTACCTCCTTACCCCCTTTTGACAACCACTTTGAGTTCCATCCATTAATCCGTTTGTGCTGTCTGTCAATCAGGAAGCTAAAGATCTTCGTTTTAGCTCCCCCCATACTCTCTGGTATTCCAAGATATTGTCCCATCCCACCGACGTTGCCTATCCCCAAAATTTGATGAATCTCGGCACGTACTCCCGTATCCACCGTATGTCCAAATTGTACCGAGGATTTTGCAAAGTTTATTTGTTGTCCCGATGTAACCTCATATTCCTTTAGAATCTGTAACAGTACCCGGCTCTCTTCACTAGTAGCTCTACAGAAAAAAAGACTATCATCTGCAAACAGCAGATGGGAAACCGCTGGGCTTGCCCGGGCTACCTTCAACCCAGTAATCCTCTTCATTTCTTCCGCTTTCTTCAGATTTGTTATTAATATTTCCGCGCATAAAATGAATAAATACGGAGATAGGGGGTCTCCTTGTCGGAGTCCTCTATGAGGTGTGATTTGACCTCTTGGTTGGCCATTAATTAATACCTTATACTTTACTGATGTGATGCACCGCATCATCCACACAATCCATTGTTCTGCAAAGCCCATCTTCCTCATTAGGGCTTCCACAAAAGGCCATTCCACTCGGTCATAAGCCTTACTCATATCCGTCTTTACCGCCATAAACTTTCCTTTGCAAGATTTGTTTGTCCGCAATCCATGGAACATCTCCTGGACTATCAAAATGTTATCCGAAATCAGTCGACCGGGAACAAAAGCAGACTGAGTCTCTGATATCAATCTTGGTAGTAGCACTTTAAGTCTCTGACAAAGGACTTTTGAGATAATCTTGTAACCCACATTACAAAGACTAATGGGTCTCAATTCTGTCATCCTAGTGGGCCGTGATGTCTTTGGTATTAGGCAAATATTGGTCATGTTCAATCTTTCATCAAAACTGCCAGATGTGAGAAAATCGTTAACCATGGTGAGAACATCCTCCTTAACTATATGCCAAGAACGTTGAAAAAACAAAGCCGTAATTCCGTCCGGTCCTGGCGCTTTCTCTGGATGCATCATAAATAAAGCCTCCCGCACTTCTGCTTCTGTCGCACGACGCGTTAAAACTTCATTCTCCGTTATAGTAATCCGCTCCGAAACATTTTCTAGGACTCCCGTAAAGTCCACCGGTAAATTGGACGTGAATAGACTATCAAAATAGTTTACCGCTACAGTCTCTATCTCTTTTTCTCCCGCCACCCAGACATTAGCCTCGTTATGGAGTCCCACAATCCGATTTATCGCTCGCCGTTGTTTGGTGGAGGCGTGGAAAAATTTCGTATTTAGATCTCCGTCCTTTAACCACATGTTCCTACTTTTTTGTTTCCAATATTCCTCCTCATCCCTATGTGCTTCCTTTAGCTTATTCGTAATAGCGGACAATTCATCCTGGGTACGTGTATCATCGTCTTGTGCTTCCGCTAACGCTTGTTGTAGATCCGCGATTTTTGTTTTTCCATATGGTTGGTTATTCTTTCTCCAGGTAGAGATCTCATGCCGGCAAGTGTGAATCCGGTCAACTAAACTCGGTTCAGACCCTCCTCTGTATTTTTTCCACCCACTCTCGATCGAGTCCATCAATCTGTCAAGCCCAATCCATCGTTTATCAAATCGAAACTGTCTTCGCCTCTTTGTTATTTTTGAGTCCAAAGTAGCTAGAATTGGTCTGTGATCCGACCCAACCATGCTAAATATTCCACGTGAGAGCAAGGAAATAAATCATGCCACTCTTCTGTAGCTAACGCTCTATCTAGTCGACACCTTACTAATTTACCTCTGCGTCTACCTCGCCATGACAGGGTATTTCCCCGACTCGGGAAATCCACCAAACCACAGTCACTTATCATCAGATTAAACGGAATGAAAGTCGATGCCTGCCTTAAGGCGCCTCCTTGCTTTTCATGGTTGCTTGTGATCTCATTAAAATCTCCTATAAGAAACCATGGATCCGTCCTTGTTGTCCCCATCCGTGTCAGGCGTTCCCAAACATTATCACGTAGCTTAACTACTGGATCACCGTAAACAAATGACATAAAAATTGTTTTCCCATCATATTTGGCTTCAATATCGATAATCCTTTTATTGGAGAAGGTTATAGTAACATCATGTATATTATTATAAAATAAAGCCAATCCTCCACTTGCACCATTTGGTTCCACCGTGAAGACTCTATCATACCCAAAGTGAAACTGAAATTGTTGCACAAAACTGAAACATTGCTTTGTCTCAGAAAGGAACAAGAATTCAGGTTTAAACTTTCCCCAAGTTTCTCTAAGATAGCTGATTGTAAATGGATTACCCAAACCTGACAATTCCAACTAAGCACTCTCATATTTATAATAGTTGTGTTTTTTATACCTTCCATAGCTTTTCCTGCCTGGAAGCTCCCATTGCATACTATTATATACTATTGTGTACCAGAAAAAAACCGGGATACTAAACTCCCCATCTTGCAACTGAATCTCGAGAGACCTATTATGAAATAAAGTAAACTCCCCATCTTGCATCTGAATCTCGTAAGACCTATTATGCAAAAAGTTAATCATATTCATGTTTGTCCGGTATAACCCGTGTATCCCTTGAATCTCACCGCACAATATTTGACCCAAATTTGTGATCAAGTGAGAGCAGTTAACTTTCAACGGTTTGATTAAAAGCCATTCTTTAATCATAATCAGTTTTTGCTCCCCAAGGTTTCCAGAAAACGTGTCGGTCCAGAAAAACAATACTGCAAAAGTCAAGTATCGTGTGTGTGAACGCAGATGTATGTTGAGCTCCTCAAACGACCTTCGTAATTGAGCTACAGCTACTTGTGTGATAATGAGGCAAGAAATATTTGACCCCTTTGTGCTAAATATAAAATGAACTCTTGGGATGAAAAACATGCCATAAGTTTTATTATCCAAGAACAGAGAATCGCCACGTGTGTCACAAGGATTCTCCAAAAACACCATATTGAAATCAAAGTGAAAACGCAAAAACCGTAAAAAACGACAAAGTTGCCTGGCTTCTGTGATAACCACATGCCTTTTTATTTGCCTAAATCTAGGCCTCTGTTGCACCTCTTTATTCTGATCCATTAAACCATGAAACCACTTGGTCCTGCCCCCTCTGGTGGGTCTTTGTCATCCCCTTTTGCCTCCGTCTTCTTTCCAGGGCGGCTGACTACTTTTGAGCTAGCCTTTTTCCGTGGTGTCTTGGCTGCTTGAGTCATTCTCCGCATGGTTCCTACTCCAACCCCAGCATTGGTCTTGCTTGTCTTCTTCCTCACCACTTGTTTCTTTCCTGGCAAAGCTTGACTCTCGTTCTTGATATTGGTTGCCTCGCCATCAGCTACCTCCGTTGCCTCGCCATCAGCTACCTCCGTTGCCTCATCATGTACCTCTGTGCTATCCGCAGCATCAGTATACATTTCGGCGTGTACCTCGTTTATGTCGGAGCCTACTCCCTCTTGACCCTGAAAAGCATCAAACTCCTCCTCTGATTCCAGTTCCTCTCCGAGGATGTCATCCTCTGCCTCCGCCAGCGTTTCCATGTTTTCCGCCAGGAGTAGAGTGTGTTCCTCCTCAGTCTCCTGCATTGTGTGGGATATGCCATCACCACCTAATCCGTCGGTCTCCATCTCCATTGCCTGCACTTCAGTCATCTCAGACCCTGCATTTATCTCCAACTTAGTATCCAGAACCACAGTAACCTCAGTTTCCTTCACCATGGTCTCTTCATCAAATTTGAGCTCCTTCCTGACATTTTTCCCGGATTGAACACCAGTGGTACGTGCCTTCTTAGCTGAGAGGTGATTAGGGCTGAGACGCTCTGTTTCACCACCTCCCCTCCGTCTCTCTCTCCAGAGGCCACCGTCCCGCAACCGCTGGTCTCTGAGCACTTGATCACCTCCACGTGAGATTCCTCTCATGGGGATTACCTGACGTTTCCCTTGCTCTGCAAGTGGGACATGAGCCGAGGAAGTGCCTTCGCCATCCACCATTGGTTTACTACGAACCTCAGTCACCTTAGGTCCTCTCTCCTCCCGTGAATCTACCACTTTTCCTTTTCCTTTGCCCTTGTAGTCAACTGCTTTGTTGTTGTAACGCCTTCCATCATCTCCATCCGCCACCCCATTGATCACAACCCCTTTGTAGCTTCCTGTGCCAAACTCGCTCCTTTCCTCTCTGCGCCTACTTCTCTCCTTCTCGTTAATTAGTGTTTTTTTCCCTCTCACTTTTGTTGCGTTAAGGAAATTTCGCAAATAAGGAAGAAAAAAGAGAGGAGCCTCTTGGAATTGTTACCAAAATCGTGAAACAAACAGGAAATAGGGTTACAAAAAAAGTGTATTCTATCTATCTAATAACTAGTATTTAAAAAAAAATCAGTGAGATTCTTAAATCTACATAACTAATAAGGCTTGGACAATCTCCAGCCTTTGACACGTGGCACTCTCTTTTTTTTTTTTTTTCGCCTAACACCAAAACGACGTCGTTTTGGCTTTATTTTTTTTTTTTTTTCGTCTTACACCAAAACGACGTCGTTTTGCGCTTTATCTTTTTTTTTCGTCTTACACCAAAACGACGTCGTTTTCGTATTAAAAAAAAAAAAAAAATCTAAATCAAAATTATGTGTAATGCTGTTCGTTTTGATGGGCTTGATTATTTATCGGACCTCTTCGTTTCCATGGTAGCTTTAAATGGGCTTACTGGCTAATTAGCTCATTTCATTTCCTTTTAAAAAGGATTGCAATTATTATTATCTATGAGTCTGTAGGATAATAATCAATCTATAATGATTGTTAGTATAAGGAAAATTAGAAGAACTCAACTCCAGTCGATAAATTATTGTATAAAAGAACAAAAAACATATGAAACTATTCACTATGAGTCTATATAAGATTTCACGTAAATAACAACTAAATTTTAAAACTATATGAAAAAAAACAAAATGCAAAACTTACAGAATCTAATATATTCGAGTAAAAAACAAATGATATATTCGAATCTAATGTTCTGAATAATTAAATTAAAAATATTTGGTTTAATAAACCCGCGCATTGCGCGGGTTCTCTCCTAGTATTTAAAATAAAAAGACAAATTGGAGGAAGTTTCTTCTCGTTGTTGATTTCCCTCTCTCGTTTGTAGTTTTAAGTTAAGGAAATATCTCAAATAAGGAAAAACAAAATAGAGGAAACTCTTGGAATTGTTACCTGAAAACAAAAAGGAAATAGGGTTACAAAAATCGTATATATAATAGACCTAATTGTTGTCCCAAGTAGCCACCGAACAAACAAACCAATATTTGTCTTTCGTTAATACATTCTCTCATTAATCTCTTTCTCTCGACGATCATGGCTTCTTTTGAAATCAACGCAGACATGATAACTGAGATTCTTTCTCATTCTCATGTTTCCGTGATCGAAAAATCTAGACTCTTGAACAAAGAGTTCAACGAGAGAACTCATAGCTCTTCTTTTCTAAAACTCAAACTCCAAAACACCAATTCTGTTTCCGGTTACTTCCTGGAGTACAACAGGTGCTTAAAAGCTCACTCCACTATTATCAGAAACCAAGAAAACATTCCTCACAAATCCGAGATCTCTCTCGATTTCCTACCACGAGGAAGAGTAAACGTCAAAGCTTGTGACGCAAGTCACAGGATTCTGTTGTGTGTCAATGATTTACCGTTCAGAGGAAGACAGCCGGAGTACATGATCTGCAAACCCACAACAAAGCAGTACATGATCATACCGAAACCAAAAACCCGGTATTTCACAATCGCCCTCGGTTTGGTGGTGACCGGAGCTGATCCTCTCCGGTATAAAATCATTAGGCTCTCACATTTGCCTTCCAAGGAGAACAGGAGGTACAACTTCAATTTTACTCTCCTTTGCGAAGTTTTCGATTCGGATTCGTTTGCATGGAAGCGACTATCAAAGAACGTGGAGCTACCGGCAGAAGACATACCAGGTGTAAGAATGTCTGAACCGGTTGCTGCTTACGGGTTCTTGCATTGGTTAACGGCCAACAACAACGTGTTACGGTTTTGTCTGAAAACCGAAACCTGGTCGTTTCTCACGGTTCCTGAGAATCTAGCGAGCGATAGGTCTCTGAAACTGACAAGATACAAAGGGAAGCTAGGGTTTTTCAGATCAAGATCCAAGGAAGGAGAGGATTATCAGGAGATATGGGTTTTAGAGAGCAGTTTGGGAAATTCTTGGGTGAAAGTGAAAAAGATTAAAAGTATGGGGCTCGAACCTATTGGGTTCTTGAGCAACGACGTCGTAACGCTGGCTGGCAAGGATAAAAAGTTCTTGTACAATTACAATATGAACAACGGCAAGTCTCGGAAGTTACAAATTAGGTCTCCAGGATTTTCTCCTAATATGGATGCGAGCTTGAGTTATTTCCATCTCTGTTCTGACTTCAAGAGAGTTGAATTTGGCGGGAGATCCAACGGCTATCAACAAGACAAGTCACTTCGCTTTGAGTATGAAATAAAAAAATGATAGTCGTTTGTGAGTTATGCATTTTATTATTTTGTTGTTGTTTTTCGCGTTAATTCAGTAAAGTAATCAAGTTTTTTACATTTTCAAATTCACCGAGAGTAAAATTAACGAACCGGATTGATTCAATGCAATGTCTAACATGAACCGGTTTAATCCTAAGTCTGGTTTGGTTCGACCAAAATCTATCCAATTTCAAGTTCTTCTTCTTCTTACTAAGAAGCTTTATGATAAACTCGTCTACAGAAACAAACTGCTTGCTTTAAACATTACTACTCCATCTACTTATTATGCTTCATCATCCTCTTCTGCAAGCTTAGAGAACTCATCTTGGATCATCAACTTTATACATGCACTTCTTGGACTTGTCAGCTGTAAAAACAGGTTGAAACTAATGCACGTTACAAAGAAGAAACCATCGGTGAAAAAAAAAAGAAAAACATCTCATCTTAAGTTCTTAATGTATACCAAGTCCCTCAAGGATGTCAATGAACTTCTTGATTTCGTCTTCTCCTTTTCCTTTTACATGATGACAAAAGAAAACATGGGTATAAGGATTGATTGTTTGTCTCAATGAAAGATGTATAAAAATCGTTAATGACTAAATCTGTGGATGCAGGTTTTGACTATATTAGGAATCTTCATTTAGTAACAAATGATATTACCAGGTTTTGATTCAGATTTTTGGCCTCTTAACAAAGTCTATGTTGAACTTAGGACTAATCGACACTTAGTTTTGGGAGGTCTCACCAAAAGCATAACTATGAACATGATGATTTTCACAAACAAAAGCAGCAACACATGTCTTAGTAAAACATACTACATAATCACTTATCAGTAGAGTAAGCAATAGTACACACAAAATCCTAAGTTCTCAACCAGAATCCATCTAACTCTCAGCTCAGCTTCATGTTCTAAATAGTAGTGCGAGGAGTAGTTTTTTGTTTGGACTTACCTGACAAGCTAGTCGAAGGGGGCGGTGGCAGAATGACCGGAGGAAACAATGTCGGAATTGCAGAAGTTTCCGGCCAAGCTGATACTTCAGGAACGGGAGAAAAGGATGAATGTAGCAGAATACGTTTTGTGATACCGATCAAGAGTGTAACAGTCGTCTACATATTGCAAAGGGTTGATCTTCAGCTTCTCACAGACTGATAGAGCATGCAGACATGGAAACTTGTCCTCTTGAAACCCCCCACACGTGCAGGTGCATTTGCTAAGCTCAACAATCCATCCATTTATTAGCAACGGTGTTGTGACCTGAAACGCATTATTGTCTAGTGGCATTACAACGTACGTAACGGAAGCTGTCCTGAACTCTTCAAGCCTGTCTGTGACAGGTTTGGTGTACATTCCTCCGCGTTTAAGCCTACCAAGGCTATTACTAAGACAGTTTTGAAAATCTAATCTCAGGTCATCAAACAGAAGCAATGCAGCCCCTGGAAGACCTAGATCAACAGACTGAAAGCTTTCACAAACCAAACTGTTTATCTTTGTAGTCATGTTTCCGTATCTCCGACCACCGTCATGAGCAAGAGCCCACTGATGTGGAGCCATTTTGTCCAACCATCGCCAAGCTTCTATGTTCTCCTTTTTAATGGTGTCCATGTGGGAATCAAATTCGTCCTCCTGATCCGTGGATCCAGCCTTCTTCACAAGGGAAGACAAATTGCCATCTTTAAAAATGTCGTGGAACTGGGAGCGCAGATGATAAAGACAGAATCTGTGATAAGCCCAGGGTTCTTGCCAACGAGACCCCGGTTCGTTAATAACAGCGAGTATGTCCGGGTGAGGACTGGAGATGAGGCAAAGGCCTTTTCTTTGTGTAACCTTCTCCCTGATTCCACTGAAAAACCAACGCCAACTATCTAAGGACACTTCTTTGGTAACCGCAAAGGCAAGAGGGAAATACATACCGTCAGCGTTAGTTCCCAAGGCAACCATCAGTTTCATAGGGTACTTACCCTTCAAATCTTTAGTGCCCACTATGATCAGAGGCTTGCAGTGTTGGAACCCTTCAATGGACTGTGAAAACGCCCAAAACACACCGCGGAAAGATGCAAATTCAGGATTAGGAAAAGGATCATACTGCCAGTCCACAACTAGCCCGTTAGATAACCGTAACGCAGCCATCAACTTGGGCAATGTTCTGAAACTCTGCTCCCAATCTCCACATACTTTGTGTAACGCTTCCAGTTTAGCCTCCTTCATCTCCGAAGTTTCAACCTTGTAGCCAGTTTTTTCTTTCCACCACTTCTTCAACTCTGAAACTGATAGAGTGGGATTTACCCTGACTACACGTTCAATCTCTTCCGCCAAAAACTCTTCTTCGAAATCTTTAGGACTACAAGTATGTGGACCAGTGTATTTGGTTATCTCAACACATTCCCCTTGTTCTTCCCTTCTAGCTGCATAAAGAGACCACTTGCATTTCCATCTGATGCACTCAAACGTATACTCATCCTTCTTGGTCTCTTGCTCAACAAACTTTTGCTGCCCTCTAATGGAGAACCATTCCACCGCCTTCTTCAGCTCATCTCTATCTTTGAAACACAACCCTGCATGTAGTTCATGATCATCAACCCACAAACTAGACAGAGACAATGGTTTTGAAGCACTTGAACCTACACTTTTATTCAAGCATTCATTTGCCGACGCCTCTAAGCCTGTTGAATTAACCCCCAGCGCCATTGTTCCATGAGTGCTACCATTTCCAAATTCAGCATTTGCCTCATCTTCATTATCCCTCTCTAACTTAACAGGTGGAGGTTGGGTTCTCTGCCTCTTCGATGAACTACAGGATCTATCCAAGGGCGATGAATAAGCAGCAGCAGGATCAACAACATCATCAGAAGTTGGTTTCACTTCCAGATACAACTCCACAGTGTTGATAGAAGGGTGTTTGCTTGGAACCTCAAGCATTGTCTCCAAAACAGTGTCGTTCACCACGGGAAGATATACGTACGTATACAGATTGGGTGAAACAGCAAAAGGGTACTTACCAAATATGTCAAGCTTCGACCTTTGCTTATCTGAACCAGTAATCAGATAAAGCCTATCCAACAATCTGCTTAACTCAGTCTTTCCCTTGACACGGATCTTCTTAGGAGTTGATGCTTCATAGTATACACCATCAGGACCATACTTGATACAACCATTCCAGTAACACATCACCAAAACCTCTCTTTTAGCCATGAGCACAAATCACAACAAACCTGAAAGAATATTCAAAATTGAAAAAAAAGTTCAATTTTTGGGGCTAAACACAGAAACATGCAAAACCCGTTTTTGATTACGGAATCCTTCAAAAAACGATACTGTCTAGCTCCAATTAGAAAACAGAAGCGAAGAAGGCAATATAATCCCGTTGAAAATCACATAAACCCTAAATAATGACACTAAATCCACTTAAAGTCTCCAACTCAAATGATAGCAGATACAGCGACATTTTACGATATCGAAGACTAGCAACAACAACAAAAAGCTCAAGCAAAAAAAAAAAAAAAAAAAACCCCTAAAAACTCAAATTTTATCTAAGATAACTACATACCTGAGAAATCAGAGATTCTCGAGTTGGGTTTTCGCAAGGAAGCTTAGGATTTCAGAAATGGAAGTAATTTCTGTTGCATTAAAGAATTCTCCGGCGATGACGTTATCAGGGAGGAAGACGACTACTCTCACTCTCTGTAGTCTGGAGCTAAGTTTCCAATTGACAAAAAAATGAAATAAATACAGCTTTTTTTGAATAATTTACGGAAACCAGTAAAAGCGATTCCGAAAGTAAGTACCACTGGGCCGAGATAACAAGCCCATTAGTGTTTTATGTAGCAAGGTTAATTTAAGAACAAACAGGTCACTCTATTGATTTGACTTGATCAAAAAAATGTGACCTGCTGTGAGGATTTTGTGAGGATTTTTAATTGGTGTTACAGAGTTAACGAGAATCAATCAAAGAATTACAAGATTTTCTTAATTTGCAAAGACTGATAAAATAACGTTACAACGTTTTTTTCACATACAAAAACAGCAACACAAAAATACATACTAATAAACATGAACCACTTTAATCTTACTTCCCAAAAGTCGAAGACACTACAGAGACAGAACATGACCAAGGACAATCTTAGAACTTCCAGTTCTTTTTAAAACTCAAAAGGCAGTTTGTTAAAGCCTGCACGAAGGATCCTAAGAAGCTTTATGATAAACTCGTCTACAGAAACAAACTGCTTGCTTTAAACAGTACTACTACTCCCTCTACTTATTCTGCTTCCTTATCCTCATCACCGGCTTCTTCTGTAACCTTAGTGAGCTCATCTTGGATCATTTGCTTTATAGATGACTTTCTTGGGTTGAGATCGGTTTTGAACTTGTCACCTGCAAAAAAAAAAACAGGTTGAAACAAATGCACGTTACAAAGAAGAAATCAAAATCATCGGTGAAGAAAAAAAAAAACAATAACATAACTCATACCAAGTCTCTTGATGATGTCAGCGAAGCTTGCCTGTCAGAAAATAACAAAGCTATTGTTATCTTCAAAGATAACTAAATCCATAACACATAAATTTTTGTGTGGTTCAAATCCTCACTGTCCTGTCCATCTTTTTCAAGATATTGATAACTGCAAGTTTCAGCTCTGCATCACTAAGAGGAGGCTTCTTGGTTTCGCCTTTTCCTTTGCCTTTTACTAGAAAAAACATGGTGACAGAAGAAAACAAGGGTACATAAGGATTCAATGTTTGTCTTAATGAAGATGTAAAAAAATGGATAATGAGCAAACCTGGTTTCTCTTTTGCTGCAGATTTTGACTGCTCCTTGGTAGGTTTCTCAGTGTTGCTCTTTGGACTTGTATCACTCTTCTTCCGTTTTCCTAATCACCAATCAGTAGAGAGTAAGCAATATTCCACACAGAATCCATCTAACTTTCACCTCTTCTTCTTCTTCTAAATACTAGTGCAAGAAGTAGTATTTTTGTTTTAACTTTACCTGATACACCAGTCTGAGGTGGCGGTGGCAGAATGACCGGAGGAAACAATGTCGGAACTCCAGAAGCTTCCGGCCAAGCTGATACTTCAGGAATGGGAGAAAATGAGGCGGAGTACGTCTTGTACAGTCGTTCAATAGTGTAATAGTCATCTACATATTGCAAAGGGTTGATCTTCAGCTTCTCGCAGACTGCTAGAGCGTGCAGACATGGAATCTTCTCTGACTGAAACTCCCCACACGTGCACGTGTAGTCGCTCAGCCGAACGATCCATCCATTCTTTTGCAAAGGTGTTGTGACCTGAAACGCATTGTTGTCTAACGGCATTACAACGTATGTAATAGAGGCTGTCGTGAACTCTTTGAGCTTGTCCATGACAGGTTTTGTGTACATATCTCCGCGTTTAAGCCTACCAAGGCTATTACTAAGACCGGTTTGAAAATCTAATCTCAGGTCATCAAACAGAAGCAATGCAGCCGCTGTCACTGGAAGACCAAGACCAAGAGACTGAATGCTTTCACAAACTGAAAACAAACGCTCTACATCTGTAATCATGTATCCGTATCTCCGACCACCGTCATGAGCAAGCGCCCACTGATGTGGAGCCATTTTGTCTAACCATTGCCAAGCTTCTGAGTTCTCCTTTTTAATAATGTCCATGTAGGAATCAAACTCATCCTGCCGAGTCGTCGAACCAGCCTGCTCCACAAGGCTGTCCAGGTCGTCGTCTTTAAAAACGCCACGGAACTGAGAGCGCACATGATCCAGACAGAACCTGTGATAAGCCCACGGTTCTTTCCAAAGAGACCCTGGTTCGTTAACGACAGCTACTATGTCCGGGTGGGGACTGGAAATCAAACAAAGACCTTTCCTTTGTGTAACCTTCTCTCTGATTCTACTGAGAAACCAACGCCAACTATCAATGGACACTTGTTTGGTAACCGCAAAGGCAAGCGGGAAATAGCAATCGTCAGCGTCGAGTCCCAAGGCAACCATCAGTTTCATAGGGTACTTACCGTTCAAGTCTTTAGTGTCCACTATGATCACAGGTCTGCAGTGTGGGAAGCCTTGAATGGACTGCGAAAACGCACAAAACACACTACGAAAGGATGCGAATTCAGGATAAGGAAAAGGATCATACTGCCAGTCCACAGCTAGCTCGTTAGATGAGTGAAAGGCAACCATTAATTTAGGCAACAATCTGAAACTCTGGTCCCAATCTCCATATACTTTTTTTATCGCTTCTTGTTTTGCTGCCTTCATCTCTGTAGTATCATGCTTGTAGCCGAATTTGTCAAGCCACCCTTTCTTCAACTCTGCGATTGTCAGCGTAGGCTGTACCCTGATCAGAGATTCAATCTCCTCTGCTGCAAGTTCCACGTTGAAACTCTCTGGCGCTATAGGAGAACAAGTGTGTGGACCAGTATACTTGGTTATCTCAAAACATTCCCCATGTTCTTCCCTTGTAGCTGCATAAAGAGACCAACTGCATTTCCATCTGATGCATTTAAACATACACTCGTCCTTCCCAGTCTCTTGTACAAGACACTTTTGCTGTCCTCTAATGGAGCACCATTCCACCGCCTTCTTCAGCTCATCTCTATCCTTGAAACGCAACCCTACTCGCAAATCATGATCATCGACCCACAAACTGGATAGAGAAGACGGGTTTGAAGCGCTTGAACCGACACCGTTATTCAAACATGCATTTGCTGCCGTCTCTAGGCCTGGCACATTTATATCCTTGTTGGCATTGCCGTTAACACCCTGCGCCATTTCTCCATCTCCATGAGTGCTACCATTTGCCTCGCCTTCAATCCTTTTGTAAGTGTTGTCCACTCCCTCAACTTCAAACCCCTTATCTCTCTCCAATTTAACAACAGGAGGTTGGGTTCTCTGCCTCTTCGATGAACAAGCAGCGAGAGGATCAATAGCATCATCACATGTTGAATTAACTTCCAAATACAGTTCCACAGTGTTGATAGAAGGGTGTTTGCTTGGAACCTCAAGCATTGTCTCCAAAGTAGTGTCGTTCACTACGGGAAGATGTACATACGTATACAGATTGGGTGAAACAGCAACAGGGTACTTGCCAAATATGTCAAGCTTTGATCTCTGCTTATCTAAACCAGTCAGTAGATAAAGCCCATCCAACAATTTGCTTAGCTCAGTCTTCCGCTTAGCTCTGATCTTCTCAGAAGTTGATCCTTCGTAGTAAACGCCATCAGGACCATACTTTACACATCCATTCCAGTAACACAACAGTGTAACCAATCTTTCAGCCATGATCACAACAAACCTGAAAGGAAAATTCAAACGATATTGTCTAGCTCTAATTAGACAACAGAAACGAAAGAGGCAGTAGCGTTGAGGAAAAAAAAAAACATAAACCTTAGACAATGACAATCAACACCCAAAAATCTCCAAAGCAGAAACAGCGACACTTACTCTCTCTCTCTCTCTCTCTGAGACTACAGGAAAAATAAAGCAATATATTGAAACTAAGACCTTTCAAGTCGTATGTATGTACCTGAAAGAAAAATGGAGAATTCGAATTGTGTATCGCAACTAGAGCTTTGGTTTTCTTCAGAAATGTAAGAAATCTCAGTGAAAGGTCTTTCTTTGGTGCTCCTGTTAATGTAGTCACTTCTCACCGATGAAGACAGCCAATTAACTTTTCATATTCCGCTGCCTGGGAACTCAAAAAATAATAATTACAGCCTGTAAAAAGGTAAAGAAACAACAGTTAGGCCGAACTTATTAAGCACATTAATGTGTTGTAAAGACAAATTAATAAAGCCAAACAAAGAAACTAATCATCTCTAGTATTACATCCAAAGATTCATCTTTATCCATCGGCATGAAATGAGAAAATAAGCGATTTGTAAATGTAGAAGTACCTTGATTTCGGATTTGCGGAGAATCTTAATGGAGAAAGTGGTCATCTTTGGAGAGAAGAAACATATTACCAACTTTCCCTGAATCAGAATTCTCTAGCTCGATGGGACGACAAGAATGCGGACCAGTATACTTAGTTATCTCAAAAAGTCCATGCTTTTAAATTCTAGCTGCACACAGCGACCACTTGCATTTCCATCTGATGCACTCAAACATATACTCGTCTTCCTTCCCAGTCTCTCGTGTAACACACTTTCGCTGCCCTTTAATGGAACACCAGTTCACTGCCTTCTTCAGCTCACCACCATCTTTGAAGCACAATCCTACTCTCAAGTCATGCTCGTCAAGCCACAAACCTGACACACACGGTTTTGGAACACCAGAACTTGAATCTTTATGAGAAACGCTGCTATCTCCTACGTGGCCAACTTCATCAATCCTCTGTCTTTTCGAGGAATTTGACAACAGCGATGGACAAGCAGCAGCAGCAGATTTCACTTCCAAATACAATTCCACATTCTGAATACAAGGATGATTGCTTGGAACCTCAAGCATAGTCTCCAAACTTTCATCGTTCACCACAGGGAGAAGAAGATACTTAACCAAAGATTTTCCAACAACACAAGGATACCTACCAAATATCTTAACTTTCGACCTCTGATTATATGTATCTAATCCAATCATTCGATACAGCTCATCCAACAATCTTCTCAGCTCAGTCTTTCGCTTAACTTTGATCACTTTAGGACTCGATCCTTCGTAATAGACACCATCTCGGCCGTACTTGATGCAACCGTTCCAGTAGCAAAACACCTCCAGCTCCACCATTTCAGCCATGGAATCAACAAACCTGCAAGGAATTCAAAGAAAAATGTAACTTTGGGGCTCAAAACCCTAAATTGCAAACCATTATCTCTGATTCTCCAAGTATTAGGGGCACAGAACCCTAATTCTATCTATAAAACAACAGAAATTAAAGGGTATCAGTAACCGGAGCAGATTAATCAAGTAAGAACGAAAAAAACACAAACCCTAAATAAAATAGTCAACTAAGTTAACCTGAAAAGAGAAATGGAGACTCTTTACTTGGCGTTTGCAAGGAAGCTTGGATTTTCAGAATGTGAAAGGAATTTCAGTACCTGCTAAGGAATTCTCCGGCGACTTGGTGACGGAGGAAGACGAAACCACTCTCACTCTTTCTAACTACGTTTCTCATTCACAAAAGTATTCAAAATAAATAACAGACAGTAATATAGGACCAGTGGGCCGAAAAAAAGCCCATTAATGTGTGTGCCCAATGCCGTGAACCAGACATTATATCCGGTTCAACAAATCCAAGCCGTATATTCATTTCGTCATTTTGGTTTCTTGAAGGGGAATCAAATATCTTTTAGTTTGCTTTTGAATTTTTCTAATCAAACTTAACAAGATTCATTTTCACATACAAAAACAGCAACATAGTATTAGATTTCCTTTACAACGCTACAAAATATATAAACCTGAACCGGTTTAATTTGGTTTGTTTACTGACGTTGACTTTTGCAGATCGTACCCACTTTGCCACGTGTGCGTTCAGGATTTTGAGATCGACTACAAATACTTTACTCAAAATGGTCTTTCTTCGGACTCCTTTGGACTCATGCTCGATTTGGAAACAAATAAGATTTTATTTGGCTCTTCTCTCTCTCCAATAGGCCAAACATTTAGTGATAAAATATCCAAATACATGGATCAGTTTTTTTATGGACAAAAGATCTATGCAGAAACAAACAATTAGATAGATTACATTATAAAAACGAAAGAAAGATATACAAATAAATAATGAAGAACAAAAGGACCCATTCGATTTCTAGAAAATGGACTGTCGACGAGCTTCTGTTTTTGCCAAAGGACTATTCTGAAATTCCTTTTTTGCATAAAGTTAAATCAATTTTGTTTCACTGAATAAGTTGCTAAAATAATGAGCAAACTTTAAATATTTCGACTCCTTCAAATCATATTATATTATTATACATTAACATCACCAAAAAGTAGTTTTACTTGCATTATTGACAATATTTTGATATATACCATATTAAGTAAGATCCGACCCGAAGAAATCATCAAAATCTTGAAATTGACCCGACCCGAACAAATCACCCAAATCATATACACGATCCTCCACGTGGCGGCTTGAGAAATTAAACCCGACAGAGAAACAGTCTTCAACGGCAATCTCCAACGAACTGAAATCGGAATCAAATGGCGGGAAAAACATCTCCGGTGCCGGAGGTAAAAAATCTTCATTTCCGGGGGAAGTCGGTGAACGGAGAACTGTATCCGGAGACTGAGTTATGGCGGAGGTGCACGGTGGCTCCGGCGGAGTTGAAGCGGCGGTGGCAAAATTAGTGATAGCGGATAGACCATGTAACTGTACGGCGGCGTGATCGTAAACCAAAGCAGCTTCCTCCGCCGTGTTAAAAGTTCCGAGCCATCTCCGTCCACGGCGAGTCGGGTCGCGTATCTCCGCCGCCCATTTACCCCACGGCCGTTGCCGAACTCCTCGGAACTTCTTCTTCTTCTCCGTCGAAGCTGACTTAACGTTTTGGGGTGGTTCAGTTGAATACGACGGCGTTTCGAAGGTGATTTCACGTACGTATCTCTTGACACGTCGTCGTTTCTTTGTCCTGTTGTGATTCTCTTCTTCTTCTTCTCCGTCGTCGTCGCTGGATGATGAATCTGTGGCGTATGGATCAGTGACGGAGATGCGTAAGATTCTTGGAGTTTCAACGTTATGTTTGATGATTCTCTGATGCTCTGTCTGAGAAATCAAACCTTTCTCCATTGTTTTTGTTTTTGGAGTGGAAATTTTCCCTCTTTCTCGATTTAAATCGATCAAGATTAGTGATAATGAATTAATAATATTGTTATTTTCACGAAAGTTTTTATGAAAAGAAGAGTTTATTATTTTTCTTTCATGGAAAAAGCAGAGCACACTTCCAAGAAAAGGCGAGAAAATAAAACTAAAGCTAAGCATGCTCTACAAAGTATTTTATTTTCTTTTCCAAGCGAGATTTTCTCTGTAAATTTTATGAAACGATGGAAGAAAAGATATTAACATGAATATATGATCATATTTAAATATTACAGTGATTCATAACATGTTTGCTAAATTGTGTTGGTGGTCTCAATCAAAAGGAACGTAATAGGAACACACAATCTCAACGGTAGATAAACTCTACCTTTATTCTTTTTTATATTATTATTGTTTAAACAAATAAAATACAAATCACTGATTCTTACAAATAAGGAAATCTATAAAGGTGGAGAAAATGCTACCTAACACATGAAAACCCACTTCTCCAATCTTTGGCAATTAATTCAAATTATATTTAAAAAATGAAAATAAATAAGAGTCAAGGATGTTACTCTGCTCAACGTATATATACCGAGTATGATCTCTAAATCCAGTCACTCAGGTTTGTTCGCATTAAATTGCTATTATTATCTTCAACATTGTAGGTCAGGAATACCACAAGACTTGAGATGAGTGTTAATGACATTGCGATCGATGGGTAAACGGGATTTGATCAAATCACAGAGACATGATTGGTTCGCTTTCAGACTCTCACAACATGTAGTCGACATCATCATGCCTTTGGCAATGCCGTCAAAGCAAGTCTGAAGTGCATTTGTAAGACATGATTCTCCGCTCCTCTTGGATCTGCTGCCGTCTACAGCTATAGCATTTGTCGGAGGAGGAAAAGATGCTGAGAGTATGATGAATGCGATAAGCAACAATGCTACGTTCTTCATGTCTTGGTGTTTTTTTTTTGTTTAGATCTCTCTTTAGCAAATTGTTTGGATTTCTTGTTGCTTTCCAAGAGAAAAAAAAAAAGAAAAAGATTTTGTTTAGGTATTTATTGGATGATCACGGAGGAGTCTCATTGTATGGTATTGCGTAATGAACGTGGTTGCCTTGTTAATCATCATGAACTTAATTAGATGTTATGTAAATATAGACTGATTAATGCAACCTTTCTTAAAAAAAAAAAAAAAACTAATGGTTCTTCTTGATTACTTTTTTTTATGTGCTTAGACAGATACTAAACTAATGCCCGCGCATATGCGCGGGTTTTTCTTTTGTTATAACTTAAAAATAATGCTTAAAATATTTATGAATTTGTGATTTTAATTCAAATAATATTTTTTTATAGTTTAAAATAATGCTTTAACCTATATAACATCCGTATTTGAATACTCATTTGCTTAGTTAATGACTCACTTTCAAATATATAGTTTTGCATAATAACATATGTCTTTATGCCCTTAACTCTCTTTATTTCTATACCATATAATTACATTAAACTGACTCTGATATACCAAACTATATCAAAGTGATATACTAAATTCTCTTTTTAAATCAGTTTTCTTAAATAAATAGAAAATAATTCTGGATGAAAATTTTGTAACATAACGGGATTAAAGGTTATAATAAATAAACAATATTTTCTTTCTGGACTTCGAACATATGATTAAACATTTCTAGGTCAATGGCATTAGTGACAGAATTGAATAATACTACATGGGGTATCTACATGTCATCAACCTATAAACATTTATTTTTCATGGTTTAATTTGTTGAAAACCAAAAAAATAAATATATTTATTTTGTAAGTTACAATGAGCATAAAAGAATAACCAAAAGTTGCATTGAAATTCCATTAAACTTTTGCAATTTGTTTTTAAATGAAAATTATATGAAAATTTATTTTGTAACTTACAATGAACACAAAAGAATACCAAAAGTTGCATTGAAGTTCCATTAAACTTTGAAATTTTATTTTAAATGACAATTATATGCCACATGTTATTTTCTCTTGTGCCCACATGTCATTCATATGGAGAGAGTTGGTCTCAATTCATATATATAATTAGATGATGACCCGAGTAATACGGAAATTATTTTAAGTATAAAAATACTTTCAACTGTTTAGAACAATTAGTTGGTTAATCCTTAGTACTTAATCATTTACCAATTTTATGTTTGCTTATCGGTTACATTTGTAAACGTTAATGAAATCTGCATGGTTTAAATGAAAATTTCGATTTCACAATTAGCTTTTTTAATGGTTTGTATTTGATTTTTTTTTCACAGATAATCTGTATCCTGTGTTTTTTTCTTAAGTTGATATTTACAGTGATTAACATTAACATCAGCCGTGATTATATTATTTCGTGACATGTTTGCTAAATTGTGTTAGTGAATAGTGATCTCAATCAAAGGAGCGTATAGGAACACACAATTTCAACGGTAGATAAAGTCTACCTTTATTCTTTTTTATTATTATTATTGTTTATACAAATATGGAATATTGATTCTTACAACGAAAATTACAAAGGTGGAGAAAATGTTACCTAACCATTTTATTTACACAAAGATTTACTATAAACGTATACCGAGTATGATCTCTCAATCCATTCACTCAGTTCCGTGTTCGCATTACGTTGCCATTATTATTTTCAACATTTCATCTCAGCAATACCACAAGCCTTGAGATGAGTGTTAACGACATTGATATCGAGGCCCAATCGGGATTTAATCACATCACAAATACATGATTGGTGCTCTCGCAGTGTATCGCAACATGTCGTTGACATTGTCATGCCTTTAGCGATGCTGTCAAAGCAATCCTGAATTGCACTTGCAAGACATGATCCTCCACCTCTCTTGGAACGACTTCGGCCTGCATCGATAGCTTCTGTCGGAGGAGGGAATGATGCCGAGAGTATGACGAATGCGATAAGCAACAATGCTACGTTCTTCATATTTTTTTGTTGTTGTTGTTGTTGTTGTTTAGATGTATATATTTATAGCAAATGGTGTGGATTTCTTATTGTTTTTATGAGAGAAAATTTGAGATTCTGTTTAGGTATTTATATTGGAAAATTAAGGATTCCCATTGTATGGTTTTGCGTAATGAACGCGATTTACCTTGTTAATCAACAAGAACTCAATTAGATGTTATGTAAATATAGACTGACTAATGCAACCTTTCTAAAAAAGAATGAAATGCTAATGGTTATTCTAGATTACCTTTTCATAAAATGTTTAAAAACACTAGATGATGTAACTATTTAGAACATTTACTAATTTTATGTTTGTTTATGGGTCACATTTGTAAACGTTTAGTGACATCTGCATGGGTTTAAGTGAAAATTTCGATTTCACAAAAATCTGACAGATTTTACCTTTTTTAATTGTTTGAATAGCATTCTTTGTTATATAAAGGTTGATATTGGGCTAAACGTCAAAGTTCATTAAATTTGTGTAATTTTAGTAGACCTCATCAGTCATTATTTTGTTGATAAGATTAAAAAAATGAAATTTCAAAGTCATTGTAAATAATAACACCCAGTAATTTTTAAAATACCTTTTTAACATAAGTTTTAGGAATTCCAAGAAAGAAAACACAAGAGAACAAAGAGGAGAAGAAATGTTAATTGTTTTAACAAAGTCAAAAGAGCTTTCAAACAAAGAGACGATAAAACATAGGAATCAAACCGAGTCTTTGATGGATCAAACACTTATTTCATGGAAAGATCCTATGTGAATAAGCCCTCTCTCTCTCTCTCTCCCTCTCTTAAAAACCAAGTCTTGATAGCCACAAACTTTCAACCCATCGCATACTTCTGAGTCCAGCTTCTAGCAGTAGACTCGTACTTGGCTCTGTCGGTTTTGTACATGTGCGCAATCTCTGGAACCAAAGGGTCATCTGGGTTGGGATCCGTCAACAACGAGCAGATCGAGAGCAAAACCTATACAAATTCACAAGAGACTTTCAGTTAAAAAACCAGAGTTAAAGACTTATTTGCTATTGGTAAAAAAAAAAGAGAGCTTTCTTTTTACCTTGGAGATGGTGAGTGCTGGGCTCCATTGTTCCTTGAGAATGTCAAGGCAGATGCTGCCATTGCTGTTCACGTTAGGGTGAAACACTTTGGTCCTAAACGCAACCTGCAAGAAGAAGAAACACAGCAACTGAATTCTCCAATAGAGACCAATCATTTGATGATGTTCAATTTTGGTGATAGATGATTGATTCTAAGTACCTTTGGTGGCTTGAAAGGGTAATCCGGAGGGAAGTGGATGGTAACGAGAAAGACTCCGCCTGAGTAAGGACTCTCCGATGGTCCCATGATTGTAGCTTGCCAGTGAAACATGTCTTCAGCAACCGGGCCTTGAAGATTTTCACAATTTGTTCATACAAGACGAAGTCACAAAGTAGAAAGATTAGTCTTTGAAACATCAAAACATCAAAGATTAGGATTTCACTTCATAGAAGTCTCAGTGCGCAATAGCAATATCCTGAGACTTCTTTAACAGAAGAATGCATGAGCAGTTTCAGATTCCCAAAAAGCAAACTAAGCACGTAACACATCCGAATGCAACAGACAAAGACTAAACAGATTTCTACTCAAAACTAGGGAAGAAGAAAGAGCTTTCTACGTTTCCTGAGACTGAAATGGTTTTATGATACAAAGCAAACAAGATCTAGACCTTATTGGTAGGAGCAACTTCGATAAACAAGACAGGACTCAATCATTGATAAGCACCAAGAGCTAAATTCGACGAAAAGTCTCTAACTTTCAATTGCTATCTGCTTAGCTATGAACACAAGATAGATGCAACAACGAATCTAAGATCAGTACCCAGAAGTTTGTTCAAAGAAAAAATATCAACTTTCGATTGCTATATGTGATTATGATCAGTAGAGAATTGCAATTTGGTATCTAGGGTTGGTAGGAAACAAAATCTCAGCTTTTAATTAGGTATCAGTATGATCACTTTGTGGCTGTAACTAGGCTCTTCAAGATCTATAGATAGCTACGCTATGTGGTAAGACACTAAAAAGATCTGATTTTTAGGCTGAAACGAGATTATAAGATCTACAACAGATTCAAACACGAAGGAGAAGAGCTAAGACTAACCAGCACTGCAGGAGGTAGGAGGATCCTTCTGGAGATCCTTGAGCTCTTTCAAGATCCGTTTCGAAGCCATTTCTCACCCTGAACAAACTCCTAGATCCAAAAAAAAATAAACCCTAGATCGATTCAGAAACGCAAACAGATCTCCGAGATAATCAAACCAGAGACAAATCAAGGACGAAATCTCCGATAAAGGAGAGAGCTTTTTACCTCAAAACAGATCCTCCAAGCTCTCGGTATGACGATTCACTCCTGCAGAGATGGTGAGAGAGAGAGAGAGATAAAGCGAGAGCCTTTTGAGACCAAAATAAAAGAAAGAGAATTCCTTAGATATTTATTGCCAGCGATTTTCCAGCCAGCGAGAGAATAATAATTATTATATTAATTATTTTTTAATTTTAAAGATCAGAACCTTCTGGCCCAAACAGAGTCTTAGGTACAGACTTTAAAAGCGGCTTAAACCCCTTTAGGGTTTTTGGATTCCGATCACAAAATCTCCGAAATTGACACAGAGAAGCTCTCAGATTGAAGAATCAATGGCGGCTAAGGGTCCGTTGAAGCTCAAAGTCAAAGGAGGAAAAGGATCAAAGGGATCATCATCTTCCTCCTCCTCGTCGTCTTCATCGAAGTATCAGATGCTCAAGGATTGGACCAACTGGTCGTTGAAGAAAGCCAAGGTCGCGACTCAGTATGGCTTCATCCCTCTCATCATCATCATCGGCATGAACTCCGATCCAAAACCTGATCTTTTTCACCTCCTAACTCCCGTTTAAATCTCCCAGTGTTTCGTTTTGGATCTTCGTTAGTGATTTTGTTCTTGTTTTTTTTTTCTTCCGATATATGAAATGGATTATTCATTCTTTTGTTTTGTTTCTCAATCTATAACTCAAAAAGTCTCAATCTTTGCAAACATAACAAATTGATCTAATGAAAAAGAACATAAATTGCTTTAAAAGGCTATAGATTTTGTGCTCATTCTTCTGCATCAACAGATCGGATCTCTTGAATCAATTTCAAGACTTGAGCTATATGAGGACGTTCTTGTTGCTTCAGATTAACACAAGACAATCCAATCTGCAACATCTCAACCATCTCTTCCTCGAAACCACCGGACTCACTCAAAATCTCCATATCGAAAACCTCACCGGTCCAATCTTTCGCCACCACACACCTTATCCAACCAGCCAAACTCATCTTCTCACCGCCGTGCTCTGTCTCCGAAACCGGCGACTTCCCCGTCAAAAGCTCGAGTAACACCACCCCGAAGCTGTACACATCCGAAAACTGAGTCGCGCTTCTTCTCGTGTCTGCTGTTACCTCAGGCGGGTGGTAACCAAAAGCTTGAGGAAGAGACCTCATGATCGTCGTCAAGCCGAGATCTCCAATGCAGCCATAGCTTTGCGAGTCTAAGAAGATGTTTGAGGACTTGATGTTCCCATGGACGAATCTCCCATTGTTCCCTTCATGGATTTTAGCTAACCCTCTCGCTGCTCCGGTCGCTATTCTCAATCTCGCATCCCAATCTAACGGTACTCTACAATACATTCCTCTGTTTCCTGCAATAAAAATCAAACCTTTAACTGTTTACTCTGTTTTGCTTTTGATAAAAATCAAACCTTTTAACTGTTTACTCTGTTTTGCTTTGATAAAAATCGAAACTTTAATTGTTCATCATCACAAACAGAGCAACTAACTAACTAACTAACCGTGCAACATCTCGAAGAGGCTTCCATGAGTGTAGTAGCTATAAACAGCGAGTTTATCGTCTTTGGAGTAGTAGTAAGCTTTAAGCTCAGCTACATTGCCATGTCTGATCATGCCAATGAGCTCCATTTGCTGCTCGAACTCTCGTCTTCCCACGACGACTTCTTTCAACCGCTTCACCACGACAGTGCTCATGTCCTCCATTGTTACCTTGTAAGTTGTGCCGAAAGCTCCTTTCCCTATAACCTCTGCAGATGAGCTCAGCAGATCATCTAAATCAAAAGAATGGTTTCTTCCTCCGAAGAAGATGATCTTGCCGTTGCCGTTACCGCTACCACCTTCTTCGGTGTTTTGGTCTCTAGATGGAGGAGAAGAAGATGAGTCTCTCTTCCGCAACTTCCCGGAGCAACTCGCCTTCCCGAAACAAGTAATCATAATAAAGGAGATCCCTGACACACCCAAAACGCAAGCTGCGGATAGAATCAGCAAGAAAGCAACTTGGCTTAACCCAAATGGAGTCTTGTGTTGTTGTTGCCTCTCTGTGATGTCATTTCCAGAAAAGGATGAAGCTTGGAATCTCTGAAGAGATTTTGGTATTGTGCCGATGAGCTTATTGTTGGACAAGTTGATTTGCGTCAGCCTTGGAAGATCAAGATCAGGAACCTCACCTGAGAAGGAGTTGTTTGCAAGATTCAAGACTCTAAGGTTAGTCAAACCTGAGAGAGAGGTTGTTGGTATGCTTCCGTTGAAATCATTGTTAGACAGATCAAGAACCTTGAGATTCTTTAGCTCCGAGAGAAATGATGGTAGGGGACCGGAGAGGAGGTTATGTTGAAGGTAGAGATGAGTTAAGTTCTTGAGATTGGTGAAATCAGAAGGGAACTCTCCGGTGAGTTGGTTCTTTCTGAGGCTGAGAATCTTGAGGGAAGAGAGACGGCTTATGGTGTGAGGTGGAATCAGACCGTTGAATCCGATTCCAGGCAATCTAACGGATGTGATTCGATCTTGGTTTTTGCTGCAAGAAACTCCGGTCCAGGTGTGACAAACCGGAGAGCTCTGGTTCCAACGGTGAAGAGATAGATTGAAAATGGACAAGAACTCAAGCAAAGCTTTCTTGTCGTCTTGGAGAGTCTCAGAGGAAACTAGAGCAAAACAAAGAATCAAAGAGAAGAAGAAGAAGAAAGTTTGCATTGTGAGAAAGTAGATTTTTGTTTCTATGTGTAACAGAGAAATGTTCTTTTGTGCAGATTAAATAAATAAATAGATATTGGATTTTGACAAGATACGCCGGCAGGTTTTAGCCGGCGAAAAATGTTTCTTTTATAAGCAGAGGAAAAAAAAAATTAACGTTGGAACTTGGACGCCATTAACAAGTTTGTGTGACCGTTTCTCTCTGTGATTTAATTTTCTTATGTTTTTGATCGTTTTGAGTATTTATTTCTTTGCTTGAAGCATTTTTCTCACCAACGGCTAATAACGTATGCGCGGTAAAACGTCTCATAGGTAAAAAAAATTCAGAGGCTTGGCTTTTGTACAAGAAAAAATGGTTAAATGTTTGTTCTACATTTTATGGTATTTTCAGATATTGTTTTTTTGAAAATCCTAACTATATGGAAAATATTTTGAGAAGATGTTATCATTAGCTGTTTTTCTGACATGTCTATATAGTTTTGGAAATATATCAAGAAATATTTATTTTATTGATGTAAAACGAGTAACACGTGAGATGGGGATGGTTCTAGTCCCAATCAAATTCAGACAGAACAGCAAAGATGATTTGGCCAGTGTTGTTGACCATATAGTAACTGCTCCTCCCCATATATAAGACAAATAAACGGTTTCAATACTCTCTTCTTCTCCCTATCCAATCAATCAATACTCATTTTTCTCTCCGTCGTTTGGTAGGTGGCTGAAAGTTTCTTCCCCACAGCGAAGATGAATGACGCTGATGTTTCCAGTCAGATCCATCAGATGGTCAGGTTTATCCGCCAGGAAGCTGAAGAAAAGGCCAACGAGATCTCTGTCTCCGCCGAAGAGGTCCCTACTCTCTCGATCTTACTTGTCGTTTGTTGACTGTTGTGTGGACTATTGTCTTTGATCTTCGGATCTTATGATTCATGTTTGATTATAGGCTCTGTGTTGTTATTTCTGATCTGGAGATTTCGTATTGTTTTGGTTTAGATCTAAACCGTGTGGTTAACTATATGTTCTCTTGACGTTTCAGGAATTCAACATTGAGAAGTTGCAGCTCGTTGAAGCAGAGAAGAAGAAGATAAGACAAGAGTATGAGAAGAAGGAGAAGCAAGTCGATGTCAAAAGGAAAATGTAAGATTGCTTTTAATTTAGAGATTATCTAGATCATGGTTTTGTCTTGATCTAATGCCACTTGTTAATTGCGAGTTTGTGTTCTTGTGTTGAAAAAAGTGATTACTCAATGCAACTGAACGCATCGAGGATCAAAGTGCTACAAGCACAAGATGACATTGTCAATGCAATGAAAGAAGAAGCAGCAAAGGAGCTTCTGAAAGTTAGCCAACATGGCTTCTTCAATCATCATCACCATCAGTACAAACATCTCTTGAAACATCTCATTGTTCAGGTCAGACAACAATCTCACACCACATTAATTGTTTTATAAAACTTTTAATTAGTTCTCTAAAAATTGGTTTTTGTTATGCAAACTATTGTAGTGTTTGCTTAGACTGAAAGAGCCTTCAGTGTTGTTGCGTTGTCGTGAAGAAGACCTTCACATGGTGGAGTCAATGCTTGATGATGCTACTGAAGAATATTGCGAGAAAGCAAACGTGCATGCTCCTGAGATCATAGTAGACAAAGACATTTTCCTTCCTCCTGCTCCTTCCAAAGATGATCCTCATGCTCCTTTCTGGTAGATTAATTTCTTCAAACCAAAAGACTAACCAAACTATATAATATACCAAAAAATGACACTACTTGTGATATGTGACAGTGCTGGAGGAGTTGTGTTAGCTTCTCGTGACGGCAAAATCGTGTGTGAAAACACTCTTGATGCAAGATTGGAGGTCGCGTTCCGCAAGAATCTTCCCGAGGTTTGTTTCTTTAGGGTTCTTGAAATCTCATTTTGTCTTTGCAAGAACTCAAGAAAACGTTTGGACTTTGCTATAGGCTTTTGAGATTTTTGTTTGGTTACATTGAATACTGTGTGTAGATCCGAAAGTCGCTCTTTGGGAAGGTAGGTGCAGCTTGATGAGTGGTTCCAACTATTAAACCATGGAAGTGAAAGGCTATGACTCCATTGTCACCATTTAAAATAATTGTTTGTAATGTGTTGTTATGACCATCTGCTTTTGTTAAGACCTCTTGTTGTTATTTATTTGACATATACAGTATGATGGTTTGGTTTGGTTTGGTGAAGTATGTGATAAAAGGCTTTTCTTAGATATGTTTTTTTTTTCCCTGATAAATAAGATCACTTTGATGATCTTTTACAAATAACAAATTTTGGATTAGATGTTTAGAAGGTACAAATGTTTTGTTTTTAGCATTTGTCATAAAATTTTGCAGATTTTGTATTTTTGTCAAAGGTGTTAATTATAATAAAAACAGTTATGTTGGTCATATATCCTTATATTTGATAATAAACTTTAGACTTTCATTTGGGAAAATTTGAAAACAAATCTTCAATTTCTCGGTTTTTACCAAATTATTTTATAAGATAAAAACTCATAAGTCATAACTTTGTACTGATTTGATAAAATTAGTCAAATTTACTATTAGTTTTTAGCCTGAGCATATTTGTCTCATAGAAAAAACTGGTAAATCATTAATTATTTTCCAAATTTTTTTCCCTAAATCTTATTTTTAGGTAATTTTGCTATATAAAGAGTATAAAAGATTTCTATTATTTTTTTAAGAATTCCAATAAACTATTCTAGATTCAATACTTTTATTTTGTAAGAAAAAACAGAAAATGGTATCTAACAAAAAATATTTCTTCTTGGTTCTTTTCTTATGCGTTCTATTATCTTCAGGTGTGATAATTTTTTTTAACATATTTTTTCAGTAAAATAACTTTGCACTAAGATATATAGCTTCTTGATTTATATATATATATATTATATATATATATGAAAGTTAAAGTGATTTTAAAATATCATAACAAATACTATAAGTTTTTGTTTTCTTTGTTTGGTAAAAAAAAACTCTTAATTATTTTATTTTTTTGAATAGGGTTCGGAGAAGCAAATCCAACTATGAATCCAACTGGAATAAAATGTCCAGATCCAAATGGTAAAGACATAAAAAGTCAGTGTTACAGCCATTGTAAAATACAAGGTTTTATGGGTGGTTCTTGCCAAGGCTCTAAAAACAAGTATACGTGTATGTGTTATGAAGGATAAATAAATATTTCAATGCACCAAGATTATTGTATCCGAATTTCTAATTTTCTAATCTAAGTCGTTTGTAATACCTATTATTATTTTTATATCAGTTGGTTTGGTTTGGTGAGGTATAATAAACAGAAATAAATCTTTTTCTGATGTATATTTTTTTTTAATTCCTTTTTAAGTATCTGTTTGATCAGTCAGACATCTTTTCATGAATTTGTTACGAATAATAGCAAACAAAATATTCAAGAGTACATGCTCAGTATTTGGAAATTTAGCAATCGTTGTAACAATGTTAGCAACTAATGCCATCGTGAACTATCAATTTCAACAATATTTTTACTATCGTTTTGTCAACAATTGCAATTAGATTAAAACGGTTCTAAGATCTAAACCAACAATACATGATTGGAAACTTGTCCAGTTGTCCGACCATTGAACATCGTGAAAACTGAAAAGGCTAAAATATCAAGTTGATGTATACAAAATTATTAAATATAATCATGATCAGAGATTAAATGATTAATTAATCAACCAGCCACTTGTTCCCATCAAATTAGATAAAATCTATATCTCCGCCAAGATTCTCTCACTATCTCTCTCTCAGATACTCACAGTCACAGCTCATTTCCTTTCTCTTCGACATCCGACGCTCTCTCCAATGGAGTCCGCTCCTCTATCCCTCCGTTCTTGAAATCTCATTTGTCTTTACAAGAACTCAAGAAAAAGTTTGGACTTTTCACTTTTCTATAAGCTTTGGAGATGTTTGGGTTCTAAAAGATGTTATATATGAATGTGTGTAGATCCGGAAGCCACTCTTTGGCAAGGAAGGTTGGTGCAGCTTGATGAGTGATTCCAACTTTTAAACCATGGAAGTGAAAGGCTATGACTCCATTTCTTTCCATTGTCACCATTTGCAATAATTGTTTGTAATGTGTTGAAGGACCGTCTGCTTTTGTTAATGTGACTTCTTGTTGTTATTTATTCTGGTTGATAGAGTTGTCATAATAAAACAGTTCTGTTGATCATATGTTCTTATATTTGATACTCCCTCCATTTCAAATTAGTTGTCGTTTTGACAAAATGTATCTGTAAATATTTGGACATATCTGGACATATTTTGCATTGCAGATACGTCAAAATATTTGCAGATACATTTTGCCAAAATGACAACTAATTTGAAACGGAGGGAGTAATAAACTTTGGATTTTAGCTTTTGAAAACAAATCGTCAATTTATCTGTTATTACCAAATTATTTTATAAGAAACAAAAACTCATAACTTTTGTAGTGATTTGATAAAATTAGTCAAATTTACTACGTATTAGTTTTTAGCCTGAGCATATTCCTCTCACCGAAAAAACTGGTAAATCATTGATTAATTTATCTTTTACTTTTTCCTAAATCGTATTTTTAGAAATTTTTGCTGTATAAAGCGTATAAAAGATTTCTCTTACTTTTTAAAGAATTCCAATAAACTATACTAGATTCAACTTTTATTTTTTAAGAAAAGTCAGAAAGTTTCAGATAAGAAAATGGCATCTAACAAAAATACTTTCTTCTTGGTTTTTTTCCTATGCGTTCTCTTATCTTCAGGTGATCATTTTCTCCAACAATTTTTTTTCGGTAAAATAACTTTGCACTAAGATATATAACTTCTTGTTTTTTTTATATATATTTGAATGTTAAAGGTTTTTAAAAAATCACAAAAATAAAAGTTTTTTTTTTCTTTATCTGGTAAATAAAATTCGTAATTTCTTAACTTTTTTGAATAGGGTTCGGAGAAGCAAATCCAAATGTGAATCCAATTGGAAAATACTGTGAAGATAAAACCTGTAAAGATATAAAAAGTCAGTGTGACAGCTATTGTAAAACACAAGGTTTTAAGAGTGGTCATTGCTTTCTTTTAGTAAGTACTGTTATAAATACTTTAATACCGGCACATATACGTGCAGATGTGGTAACTGGTAAGGCTAAATAAATATTTCAATGCACCCAGGGCCGGCCCTGCACAACCCTAAGAAACATTTGTATTGGCCCCCAAAATTTACAGACTCATTCAAATTTTTTTTTATATATATTTATATAGATAGACTTATTTTATATATATTGCCTACAAGAAATTTGAATAATATGATATATTATGCATCAGATTAATTTTATCCTAATTTCTAATGAATCGTTTGTAATACCTTTTTATATATATACTAGATTAAGACCCGCGTATACGCGGGTTTATTTTAAGATTTTGTAATAAAATCATGGAAAAGTATTAAACCAAATTTGATCATTTTAAAGTAAACAGAATAATATTAAAAACCCGATAAAAATATTTAAATAAAATAAGATCGGTAACCTTTTTACGTTTTTATTGTAATTGATATTTTTTTTGAATTCATGATATGAAAAATGAATTAATTTGTTTTATTTTTATTTTTATCCAATATAGAAAGACTTATATATGTCTAAATATGATCAACTGATTAATTAATTCAACAAAACTTTATTATTCCATTCAAGAGATTTCAATTGATGAAATCTTTATTTAATAATTTTTTACCTAACAATATTGAAAATTAAACTATTTAAAATTAGAATATCGGTTCATTATATTTTCTTAATATTAGTTAGTTGCTTGATGATGTCAAAAAAAAAGTTAGTTGCTTGATAATTAATTTGTTAGTTTTCTATTTATATTGTTTCTTTCTCAATTTTGTTTTTGACTCAGACCATTATAAATTTTCATTTTCATTATTAGTTAGTTTTTTTTTAATTATTTTTCTAGTTTTTATATCTGTTTAACATTTTTCCAATTAACATGTCTTCACCGGATCAAATACATGTAACGACAATAATTTTGATTTCTATCCAACGATATAGAGTTAGATACATGTATCGACAATAATTTTGATTTCTATCCAACTAATATAGAGTTAAATATTATTCATTGATACCATGAATTTTAAATACATGATTTTTTATGAGAGAAAAGATTATACAAAAGATAGAAGCACATAATTGAATCGCAATAGCTTATTATATATTGTTTTTTTTCCTGTTCATAATGGGAATATAAACACATATCGCAATTTTGTGAGTTATAAAAATCATGCGTATTGCTATCATGTTGTTTGCTTTGATGAGTTTGTGAATGAGAAAAAAGACTACTTTAACTCTCTTTTTATAGGGGTTCATGTAACTTATTCCATGCAGTTATAGGAAATTTAGTTTACCTAACCTATTTCATGTACTAATAGGATTTTATTTATTTCATTAATTTGAATTATATGTGTTTGGATAATATAAATTTGATGAATGGGAAACCTTTTTCTATTAGGATATGACAAATATAATTTTTTTTTCTTTTAACTATAAAAGATTAAAATTTCGTTTTTTTTCCTTTATCTATTTTTTTTAATTATTATTTTTTTCCTTTTTTTCTAAGACACATGTCACGATCTTAACGGACATAACATTAAAAGTGACACATGTCGCAATCCTAAATTTTATAAAAATCCTACGTGTCGCAACCACGTCGCGCGCATCCAGCTTTATATAATAGCTTTATATAATAAAAATAAGTATTATATCCTATGTAATATATATATTTTTTTTAAGTTTCCTTTTTAGTATCTGTTTGATGAATGAGACATTTTTTCATGAATTTTGTTACGAATAATAGCAAAATAATAATAATCAAGAGTACGTGTTCAGTATTTGGAAATTGAGCAATCGTTGTAACAATGTTAGCAACTAATGCCATCGTGAACTATTTCAAGTTTCAACAATACTTTTACTAGTTTTCGTCAATTAGATTAAAATTGTTGTAAGATCTAAACCAACAAAAACTTGTCCGACCATTGAACATCTTGAAAAGTCTAAAATATCAAGTTGATGTACACAAATTTTTAAATATAATCATGATTAGAGATTAAATGGTTAATTAATCCACCAGCCACTTGTTGCCATCAAATTAGATAAAATCATTAGTCAAAAATAACAAAACGGCAGCGTTTGAGTCATTGAGATCATCGTCTACCAAAATAAGTTTACAGTTTGTCTCTTC